TCTAGACGACAATGACCACGTCTCAAAATATATATATATATATACGTATATATATATATATACAGGGTGGCCAAACACGTGACGTCATAAAAAAAAAATTAGATTCCCCACATCGAGAGGAACCCAAATCACCCCCATATATATGGTCCGATTTTGTTTAGTTTAGGAGTTATGATTTTTTTTCGGATTTTTCGAGAATTTTTGAGTTCTGTGTATTTTTACCATAACTTCGTTAATAATTCTGATAAATGCCTGCTTTTTTCACGATTATGTAGCTAAGACCTAAGGCTTAACTATCATATAATCATTCAAGTCATGTAACTAATACTACTTTTTAATTTTTTTCAAAATCTTCGAACATAACAAAAAAGTAAAAAAGTGCAACAACTTTGAACGTTTATAAAAAATTGAAAAAACATGTTCTTACTATTCGTAAGTATCTTAAAAACTTCCTTACGGTATCAGCTATTTACCGTAAAAATTTCATCAACCTAGCTTTACTACATGCTACCGTAATTGTGGCTCAAATAGAACCGAACCCAAAATTGGATAACCCTCTGCTCAATAGAAATTGTCAGTTTCGGAAAAAAAATTTGCAAAAACCACAAAAACACGTTTGATTTTTACTGAACAGCAGATTATTATTCATTTATGTTGTTTACAAGAGGTTTTCAAAATGTCTGCCTCTAACAAAAATGCACAGTGTACATCTACGTATGAAATTTTGTTTTAAATCTCTAAATGCTTGTGTGTTGTTTTTCAACACATGTGTCGCTTCTTGAATTTTGTTCCTCAATGAATTTTCATTTGCACATTCTTGGGCGAATGTTATGTCTTTAAAATATCCCCAAACAAAAAAATCAATGGGGTTGAGGTCAGGGGAGCGTGGAGGCCATCGTATCGGTCCGTTTCGTCCGATCCATCTGTCTGGGAACCTTTCGTTTAAGTAGTTTCGCACGATCGTTGCGTTGTGGCATGGTGCACCATCATTCTGGAACACCATGTTCCGTCTGGCTTCCAGGCTTGAATCTTCCAGCAATAATGGTAGGCTATTTTCAAGGAAGCTTTTGTAGGCTACCGAATCCAACCTTGACGGCAGTTCAAATGGACCGATAAATTCCATATTGAATATTCCTGACCACATGTTCACACTAAAACGGTGTTGAAATGTCGACGGCCTTGAGTGGTGGGGGTTTTCAACAGCCCAAGTATGTAAATTATGGATATTGAATATCCCTGTTCTTTCAAAACGTGACTCGTCAGTCCATAAAATTTTATCAAAAAAATCGGGATCCTCTCGTTGTCTTCGCAGCATTGTCTCGCAGAAATCCACTCTTAACTGGTAATCTGAAGGCATCAACGCTTGAACTCTTTGAACATGATAGGCATGATAACCTTCTTCATGAAGAATATTTTGTATCGATGTTCGTGGTATTCTAAGGTTTTGTGCCATAGATCTCGTACTCGTTGAGGGATTCCGGCTAATTTCTTCAAGTACTACTTCTCTGCGATCCGGATCAGCTGTAGGATATCCTTCATTGCTTCCTCGTCCTGGAATGCGGCCTGCCATGAAAGTGTTATGTGTGTTAATAAAAACACGGTGGTCTGGGTAATGCTCAGCTGTACCGGGAACAACTTATACGCCGAGGCGGACCACAACCTGAGCATTACCCAGACCACCGTGTTTTTATTAACACACATAACACTTTCATGGCAGGCCGCATTCCAGGACGAGGAAGCAATGAAGGATATCCTACAGCTGATCCGGATCGCAGAGAAGTAGTACTTGAAGAAATTAGCCGGAATCCCTCAACGAGTACGAGATCTATGGCACAAAACCTTAGAATACCACGAACATCGATACAAAATATTCTTCATGAAGAAGGTTATCATGCCTATCATGTTCAAAGAGTTCAAGCGTTGATGCCTTCAGATTACCAGTTAAGAGTGGATTTCTGCGAGACAATGCTGCGAAGACAACGAGAGGATCCCGATTTTTTTGATAAAATTTTATGGACTGACGAGTCACGTTTTGAAAGAACAGGGATATTCAATATCCATAATTTACATACTTGGGCTGTTGAAAACCCCCACCACTCAAGGCCGTCGACATTTCAACACCGTTTTAGTGTGAACATGTGGTCAGGAATATTCAATATGGAATTTATCGGTCCCTTTGAACTGCCGTCAAGGTTGGATTCGGTAGCCTACAAAAGCTTCCTTGAAAATAGCCTACCATTATTGCTGGAAGATTCAAGTCTGGAAGCCAGACGGAACATGGTGTTCCAGAATGATGGTGCACCATGCCACAACGCAACGATCGTGCGAAACTACTTAAACGAAAGGTTCCCAGACAGATGGATCGGACGAAACGGACCGATACGATGGCCTCCACGCTCCCCTGACCTCAACCCCATTGATTTTTTTGTTTGGGGATATTTTAAAGACATAACATTCGCCCAAGAATGTGCAAATGAAAATTCATTGAGGAACAAAATTCAAGAAGCGACACATGTGTTGAAAAACAACACACAAGCATTTAGAGATTTAAAACAAAATTTCATACGTAGGTGTACACTGTGCATTTCTGTTAGAGGCAGACATTTTGAAAACCTCTTGTAAATAACATAAATGAATAATAATCTGCTGTTCAGTAAAAATCAAACGTGTTTTTGTGGTTTTTGCAAATTTTTTTTCCGAAACTAACAATTTCTATTGAGCAGAGGGTTATCCAATTTTGGGTTCGGTTCTATTTGAGCCACAATTACGGTAGCATGTAGTAAAGCTAGGTTGATGAAATTTTTACGGTAAATAGCTGATACCGTAAGGAAGTTTTCAAGATACTTACGAATAGTAAGAACATGTTTTTTCAATTTTTTATAAACGTTCAAAGTTGTTGCACTTTTTTACTTTTTTCTTATGTTCGAAGATTTTGAAAAAAATTAAAAAGTAGTATTAGTTACATGACTTGAATGATTATATGATAGTTAAGCCTTAGGTCTTAGCTACATAATCGTGAAAAAAGCAGGCATTTATCAGAATTATTAACGAAGTTATGGTAAAAATAAACACAGAACTCAAAAATTCTCGAAAAATCCGAAAAAAAATCATAACTCCTAAACTAAACAAAATCGGACCATATATATGGGGGTGATTTGGGTTCCTCTCGATGAGGGGAATCTAATTTTTTTTTATGACGTCACGTGTTTGGCCACCCTGTATACAGGGTGTTCCATAATTATTGCGACAAAATTATAGGGGTTGTAGAGGGCATCAAAATGAACAATTTTTCCTTATAAACCCCTGTTCGGAAATATGCCGTTTGGGCTGCAGCAAAAAAAAAAGATCAGTTTCTTGAAACAGCTTACCTACAGTAATTGCTCAAAGTGTCCTCCACCTTGCTCAATACACAGCTGTGCACGATTGTTCAATGATCGGCGAACTCTGTGGCATACCCCCGGTATGTCCTGAACATGTGCGGACGCGGTCATCACTCTTCCCAGTAGCTCTTGTTGGTTGGGAACAGGAGTTTCGTACACTAAAGCTTTCAGATAGCTCCAGATAAAATAATCCAGTGGGGTCAGGTCAAGTGACCGCGCAGGCCAAGGCACAGGGCCACCTCGGCCTATCCACCTATTTGGAAATTTGTCGTCCAAATACTGCCGCACTTGTAAAGAAAAGTGGGCTGGACCGCCATGGTGTTGAAACCACATGTTGGCTCTTATATTCAGTGGCACATTTTGTAATAGTTCCGGTAGCACATGCTGTAAGGATCGACCATAAGCATGCCCATCCAAACGTGGTGGAAGCAGATATGGCCCGATGATATGCTCGTCCACAATGCCGCACCAGATGTTAATTGAAAACTGATGTTGGTCTCTATGGATGGCTATGGCATGAGGGTTTTCTTCATCCCAAATGTGACTGTTATGGCTATTAAAATAACCGTCCTTTGTAAAACAGGACTCGTCAGTGAACAAAACGTAGCGACCAAAGTTTGGTTGCCTCAACTCCTGCTGCAGCCACCAACGACAAAAACGTCGACGCGGCAGATAGTCTGCTGGACCCATGGCTTGGACTTTTAAAAAGTGGTACGGGTGTACGATAACAAAAATGTAAACACAGCAGGCTTTTTTTACAAATCGGTGAGACCATGAAATGTGCTAGACGAACATTTTGCAGCTGGTGAATTTTTTGTTTCTCCTATGAGCTCTTAAGGTAAAATTAACTGTAGTGCTCAAACGGCATATTTACGAACAGGGGTTTATAAGGCAAAATTGCATATTTTTATGCCCTCTACAACCCCTATCATTTTGTCGCAATAATTATGGAACACCCTGTATATATATCCATGCGTGGACGGAATATTACTCATAAACAAATACATTTTGGGAATATCTATTTATGGCATTTTATACATGACATTTGAGGGCATATTTCTAAAATATTGGCAGTTATACAGGGTGTCCCAATTTTGAGCTACAAATCAAAGTTGTGATTTTTCAAATGGAATGCCTCAAATTATGTTGCATATTTGCATAAACCAGTTCAAAAGAAGAAGATTGATATATCATACTATGGGGTTTTGGTAATTAGCTACTGAGATGTAAGGTGTTTTGTCCAGAAAAACCGTCCACTTCGGCAACCCCTCAATCCGTCATTTTGAAATTTGGAGTGCTGAATTTTGTATCAAAAAAAACTTACACTCCTCGGCGTTTATGTTATTTGTTACTTTTTCGAATTTTTAATGAACAACTATATCAACAGAGGTGCTGCTGGTGGCTACTTTGCACTCATGGACATGTCTCAACATGCAGTAACATGCAACCTCCTGCGTCCGTTTGTTAAGTCAAATTGTAAAACTTCTATAGTACCCTTGTTTTATGTTATTTTTGTTAGGGGTTAAGTGGTAAAATAGCTCTAAGTAACACTTTGCCCAAAATAAAGGCGATTTACTATTATTATTACTATTATATGGATTTTTCAAACTCGGATTTCAGATATATTTCAACATTCAGCAAAAAGATCGCCCCATATGCATCAGTGATAGTGAACGGAATTTACTGGGCTCCAAATAGTCCTAAGCTGTTAACCATACCTGACGCAAAGTATTTGCTGAGACCAGCAATAACTCCTTGGCTACCTACATCCGTTGGGGCACCAGCGTTACCTCATAGAATGTTGGCCATTTGTGATATTTCGGCAGATCCAGGTAATTTATTATTCGATTATTGATTTACGGAATCTACTCAAAATGTTTGTCTTCGTGTAGAAGTCAACGCTCCACCTGCTCGTAGACTATCGTACTGTTTCAAATATATCGGAATTGTTTCTTCTAATTGAGCTACTTCCAGAAATTATACGACTTTCGTTAAAGTTGTGAGAAACCTCGGGTCTCTAACTCTAAATCAGGCAAATCATTACTCTAAATAACCTTATAGAATTGTTTTCTACAAGATGTTGTATACTTGTTGTGTACTCGTTCCGTAGATGTACGTGTTGCCTAAGCGACACTATGTTTCAGCTATCAATGTTTGGGTCTGATATGATGTAACATCTGCTTCAGAGATGGCATTACTGGAGGTCTAAGCTGTAAGTTATACAGGGTGACTTTGAAGTTGAGTCATTAATTTTCAGATAATGATTGTAGAAGGAAGATAAACCAAAATATGTGTGTAAAAATAAAAAAAATAAAAAAAAATGTGACCTTGTTTTATAAAGTATCCTCCCGACAAGTATTTCAGTGCGGACCTGTATTTGATCGTGCGGTCTTGGAGCACCGGCATGCCCAGTGAGGTCTTAAGTCACCTGATTCAAGAGCCCTTTGTACTACATTAACAAAGGCACGAGGGGTTGGTTGCACTCGATTGGGAAACCGATCCGCATAAATCCGTGATGCCGCGGCATCATTTTGTAAATAAGAATCATGTCCACAAGTTCAGCATTTTCAACACAAACAACTCTATTCACTCACGCGTTACCGACTGACACATTGACCGAATACAACTGAATTGTAGTAAAAACATAAGCGTTTCAAATTCTTTCGCTTTTTTGTTTCCGATGCGATGAACCGACAAGGCGGATTATATCCGTTGTTGCCAAACACGAGCACATAATATTATTATTGAGACAGGGCGGTACTCAAACTTCTAAAGGGCTATAACTTTGTTACTTTAATTTTACCAGAAAAATGTTTTAGGAAAAAAACATTTCTTTTGATCAGATCTACTCACTGTTAAAATAAATGACTCAACTTCGAAGTCACCCTGTATATACTGTAATAAAAGAAATTTTTCGTCGCGAAGGTCTTTAAATGACAAAATAGTCTGGACATAATTCAAAGAATCGCCCCTTGAATTTTTTACCAATATCTCGTGCAAATCATACCTTTTATGTTTCTTCCTCCAGGAGGTTCAATAGAATTTATGAACGAATGCACAACAATAGATACTCCGTTCTGCCTATACGACGCCGACAGAAACAAGGATACCAAAAGCTTCAAAGGTCCTGGTGTACTTGTGTGTAGTATAGACAACATGCCTACACAAATGCCCAGGGAAAGTACAGATTTTTTCGGAGATCTTCTCTTTCCATTTACCCATGATATCCTGCAAAGTAATGCTCAGGAGCCGTTGGAACAGCACAACTTTTCACCAGTGGTGCACGGAGTAAGTACTATTTACCAGTTGTTTTACGAAAAATTATTATACAGGATGGCCCAATATTCCGTGGACAAAGAGGTACCACGTATTTTTAGACTCAAAATGAGTCGACTGGACATGATTTACTGTAGCCGCTAGAGGGCGCTCTCTACTGTACCTGTAGTGTATTAAAATGACCGAAATTTTTTCTTAGTCAATTTTTTGCTTTTTGAATAAAAAAACTGATTCTTCGCACTTTTCAACATAAAAAAGCTCTCCTGTGAGTTTTCGTTATAGTTAGCCGTTTTTGAGATATTTCGATTTTCAAGGTTCGATGCATTTTTAATTATTTATGGGAAAATAATATTTTTTTTACATTTTCGATTAGGGAATTACAATTAATTAAGATGATCGTTTAGATCGTGTTTTTAAACACAGCAATAATTCCTAGCTCCAAATAAACACAAAAAACAGAATATTAATTTGTTTAATTTTCCAATATTATTTTTAACAAATTAAATTAATTATTTACAACTAAAATGCTATTGGATAGTTAGGACAAACATACAAAATCTAAAGTAGTTGCTCGAAATGTAAACCCAATTGTTCAATACACAATTCACCTCTACAGTATATTCAGATAAGAGATAGACCGGACATAAACAAGACCACGTGATCATCGAACGCTGTAACATTCGGCAGGGACGTATTAAGAGTCACGCAGTACATATTTTAGATAGTAGATGCTGCTTTGCGTAACTTTGTAGTAAATTAGCACAATTCGATGTGTATACGATTGGTGATGGATATAGGATCATGTGGGGGTGGGGTAAGAAATATATAATGATGTAAATATACATAAGGGTTTCAAAATTTTCGCTTCGATTTCCAGCTTCGGATGCCGCCTGATGTTTAGTGAAATACAGTCGAATATAATCTCAAAATGGCGTTTAAATTAGCCTAAATTAAAAATAATCGTATATCTCTTAAAATTGCTTTTAAAATATTGATTAGTATATTTTTTGATTTCTAGGTAAATATGTAACCAAATTAAAACGTTCAAAACGTAAAAAAATGTGCATGGTTGAACATTGTCAGAAAGTACGAGTAGATTCTTGAATAGGTTTTGTCAAAATGGGTTCAAAAATGTCAATAATTAATTAAAAAATACAGTAGCTAATATTCGGCATATTTTAAGATTATATTGAAAAATTATTGAAATATCGAAAACACATAAAAACATGGCTTAAAAAAGTTCTAACAAATGAAAATGACAATAAAACATCCACGCATTTTATCGAAAGTTATAAAAGTTTTGTTACTTGTAATATGTTTTATCTGCCCCCTGGAATTAATGTTTAGAACCTTGTTCCCAAGGTTTGAAAAACATCCGATTGTTGTCTATTACTCGTATTTACCTGCTGGATTTTTTAATCCGGTGGACAGTCCATCTAGAAAGGCCCTCCTGGATGAAGTTACAGAATCATCAACCCATACCTTACTTGTAGTGTGGTGTGATTTTTTTTGTATTGTCTTAACACATTAAACACTGATGCGCGACACACCCCAACTTTGTGAGAAACCTTCACAACAATTTCTTTGATGGTTGATGCCTCGTTCTCCTCGCGCTCGATCTTATATATATTCAAAATGACCTCTTTCATTTCTGTACTCAGGTGTCTTTTTTTAGAGCGTTTCCTAGGTGGACTACAGGAGTTTACAACTTCATCGGCAGTATCTGTACTACTGGGCATTTTGCGCAAGCAGTTGATAACAATAACAATCAATAACAAGGTATAACAATAACAACGACAAACACAACAACTTAATAAGATAACAAACGAAAACGTCCAAAGAAATATCAAATTGCAATGATGCACACGACATACGTAACACGTCTGAACCTGAATGTGACTCTGCCGTGATACGACTGCTCTGCCGCTCGGCATAGGCATTTAATTGCGAATTGACCAATGAGGGCTCCTGTTTTACGTCGAGACGGCGGCGTTAGCGTGAAAATCACCCGAACCTTTTGTTTACATCCGGTCTATCTCTTATCTGAATATACTGTACGAATGGTCGAACGTGGTATAGCACTATTCAAATAAGGCCTTATTTCATCACATACATTCCTGATTCTGTCTATTAGCATATCTCTTGTGGTTACGGGAGTCTGGTATACTTTTTCTTTTAGAAATCCCCACACAAAGAAATCTAATGGATTTAGGTCAGGGGATCGTGGAGGCCAGGCGACTGGTCCTCCACGGCCAATCCATCTTTCTGGATAATTTTCGTCCAGCCAGTTTCTAACTATTCTCGAATAATGAGCTGGACAACCATCAAGCTAGAACCAGGCCAATCTTCCTAAATCTAACATAACATCATCCCACATATTTGCATGTTCAGCCTTTAAAAATTCCAAGAAGGTCGCAGCATTTAACCTTGCAGGCAAAAGGTAGGGTCCAAATAGTCGATTACGGTAGATACCAATCCACACGTTCACACTAAATTCATGCTGACAATTTCTTTCCCGAACTGCATGCGGATTTTCATGCCACCAAATATGTTGATTATGAAAATTTACCACTCCACGTCTAGTGAAGCATGACTCATCGGTCCATAAAACGTTACTTAAAAACTCCCTATTATTATCAGTTCTATCAAGAATCCATTGACAAAGTGTGATTCTTCGTTCTCCGTCCCCTAAGCTGTAGTTCTTGCACAGGTAGCAAATGGTAAGGACGTCTATGGTCATTTCTAAGACCACGGTGGCTTGCTGAAATTCCCAAAGCACCAGAAACTCTCCTAACAGTTGTTGTCGGATCTCTATCAAACTCACGCAGAATCATACGGGTAAATCTGCGCTGACGAACATTTATGTTTTGATCCCTTTAGAGATTTCCAAAACCATTTTCAATTATTTGGCGATGCACTCTTACAAATACTAAGCGAGTTGGATGTCGTCTGTTTGGAAATCTTCGTGCGAATTCTCTGGCTGCTTCTGCTGCGTTTCCATTTACAAAGCCATACACAAAATGAATATCCGCTAACTCTTGATTGGAGAATAAAAATGGCATTTTTATAAAACTTACAAAAAAACAGGTAAAAGAAACTAAATTTCGTGCATTCATAATTGCAAAAAAACGTTTCAGGTTTCAACAGACAAAAAAACGAACTGTCAACTAATTGACGTTTAACCTTATTCTGCTTCCAATTTCAAAAATATTTGCAGGCACAGCCTACTTCTAAAAATTATCGAGATACTGACTTTTTAACGTTATTTTATCATAAATAATTAAAAATGCATCGAACCTTAAAAATCGAAATATCTCAAAAACGGCTAACTATAACGAAAATTCACAAGAGAGCTGTTTTATGTTGAAAAGTGCGAAGAATCAGTCTTTTTATTTAAAAAGCAAAAAATTGCACTAAGAAAAAATTTTCGGCCATTTTAATACACTACAGGTACGGTAGAGAGCGCCCTCTAGCGGCTACAGTAAAACTATGCCCATGGTTCGTTTTATCGTACCAAAAAACCCTTGTATACCAATTTTCACTGTTATACATCAAATATTGTTCGAAATATTTAAAAAAAACGATTTTAAGAAGTAAATTTAAACACCCTGTATTTCGGAAGCCACGCATTTTTCGACCCATGTTTATATAGACTTTATGCATTAATTTTAAAAGTTCTATCGAATCTTAAAGTTATGCAACAATAAACTGAAACACCCTGTATATCAAAAATAGAAAAATAATGGGCAAAATCCGCAAAAAGTGGATTCGAGCAGAAAATAGGATAGGCAACCCGAGCGATACGTATTTCTGCTGGTTGGCTTTATCAAGCACTACATACGGGTGTAACCTGAGGAAACGAAGATGGAGAGGAAAAAAAATACACACGAAGAGCCAACCTACACACTGTATTATAAAATGGCAAGGCGACAAATAACCACAACACGAATCCACTTTTTGCGGATTTTGCCCATTATTTTCCTATTTTTGTTATATACCTTTCTCCGCAAGATATTGTAGATCCTTTCGGTTTGAAGTACCACTGCAAGTGGCTATAACCGAATGTACAAAACAATTCATAAGAATCAATATGCGTTCAAATTACTATATCATATTATGATGACATGTGGCATTATGCTAGCATGAAAAATTAAAAATCTCCAATCCGACCGCAGCCAGCAACGATTGCTTTAACTACTGCGTGGCTCTAAAACGAAAAAGCTATAATTTGCGATGAGTCTTTGGAAAACTTCAACTTTACATGCAGACCTCGAGCAATAACGTCACGTACTTTTCACTTTGTTATAAAAAATCATTATCATGAAAAATATTCACTTAATCATGCAGAACTATCGAAAATCATTTTCAATTTTATTTTTCAGGCGATCATTGCGAGTAATGGCCAACTGACACCAAACTATGAGTACATTCAGGAATTGAGGAAATCACAAATGTGAGTGAATTTCTACAACTATACGAATAGGCTATAAGAAGGACTTAAATAGTTAACATTTCATACTATATTTTTTAAGACCGAAAAGGCTTCAATTTAAAAATATATTTCCCTTAGACGGGTGAAAACGCTGTCCGCCATATTTGAGAATATTTTTGCTACGACGTCGTGTTATTTGTAAACAGCAGCATAACCTCTCAAACATATAAATAGGACTTCTACTAGTTTGCATGAAAAATATAGTGATTATCGTCCGAGAATGTAAAAACACATTTGCCAACCGTCAGTGCGTCAATTTTCTGCAAATCCGTGTTTTCTGGTTTCACGAATCCAAACTACAGGATAGTCGTTTTTCAATAAAAAGAGAAAACTATAACTTTTTAGTTGATTGGGAATCTTTTAGAAATGCATAAAGAAGACATTAGTCCAGATACGGATGACACGTCTTTGTTTACAATTTGCATGACGTCACATCATGGCCGATAATACAACTATTTAAAACTGTAATGACTCATACGCGTGATCAACACGTGATCAGAGCTCGATCCCGGCTTCCTTCCAGTACAGCCGTATAGCGTACGACATATGTCGTTTCTGTGGCTTTGCGGTGGTCAACAGCACAGACAGAGTTGGAAATAATGGCTGATTGTTCTCCGCCGGTAGAACCAATGAAATCAAAGACGCGCCTCGACCGGCAGACTCATAGGCGTCGGCAACGCATTGGAACGTGTTTCGTTGAGCGATCGCATATTGTGTGTTTTTATAAGAATTGTTGTGTGATTGTTATTGTTGTGGTTTCTGTGGTTACTGTTTTGGTTATACTTAACCATGGAGAGTACAAATGGCACGAGTGGAAGTACTGAAAGCCAGGCAACAAGTAGACGGCTTCGTAAAGCACTGAAGAGGGACGCGAAAGAAATCGTCCTCAACGTGTTCAATTATCTGAACAGAACTATGTCGCAGGGAGATGCACTCACGCGTTGTGAAAGTATGACAGGCGTTCCAGAGTGGACCATTCGCAGGGTGGTGCATGAAAAGAAGAAAACTGGAGCTACTACTGATCCAAACTTTAATTTGAAGGGACGAAAGGCCGTTAAATTGGATGACGATAGCAAAATGGCGTTAAGGCGAACCGTACATTCATTCTTCTTTAGGAATGAGATACCAACCCTCAAGGCTGTACATGCAGCGATCAAGGAAAATGAAATTATACCCCAAATGAGCGAGGTAATGAGGAAATCCCTGCCCGAAATTAATTTTCGTTACGAAACGCGTAATCGGAAGTCAGTATTGATAGAGAGACCTGAAATAGTCGCCTGGCGTCGAAAATACTTACGCGAAATGATTGAATATAGGCGACAAAGCAGAAAAATCTATTATTTGGACGAGACATGGGTAAATGCAGGTCACACAGTTAAAAAAACCTGGATAGACAAAAACGTAGTGAGTAATCGACAAGCAAGCATTGAAGGTTTGTCAACAGGTCTTCGTGGACCGTCAGGGAAAGGTCAAAGATTAATCGTAACTCATATTGGTAGCGATAGTGGCTTTTTAGAAGAGTGTGACTTGATTTTCGTCTCTAAGAAAGGAGGTGATTACCATGACGAGATAAATGCCAGCTGCTTCGAGAGCTGGTTTCAAGGGGTGCTTCAGCGAGTTGAGCCCAACTCTGTGATCGTCATGGATAATGCTTCCTACCATAGTCGTCGAGCCGAACGTGTACCGACTATGGGATCTCGAAAAAGTGACATGCAGCAATGGTTGCGCGAAAAAGGAATCCCGTTTGACGATTCATGTGTGAAAGCGGAATTGTATGAAAAAATTAAACAGCACAAACCTGCGAACATTAGTTACGTGACTGATGAGATGGCCCGTCAATGTGGTGTCACTGTGCTGCGGTTACCGCCCTACCACTGTGAACTGAACCCAATAGAGCTCATCTGGGCTCAAGTGAAGGGTTATATTGCGCGCCATAACACAACCTTCAAATTACCAGACGTTAAGGTTTTACTTGAGACTACCATACAGCTAGTAACGCCCGAAGCTTGGCAGAATGCTATCCGTCATGTTATACGTTAAAGGAAGAAACAAAAATGTGGCAGCTTGACCACCACATCGACACTATCATAGAGCCAGTTATAGTCAATTTCAACGAGGAAAGCGATAGCGACAGTTTATTACTGTCAGATGTAAGTGGAAGAGACGATGAATAAAGGTAGTTCCCAAATTTTTGACTTACAATATGTTTCAAACCACTCTTTATTAAGCATGTGACAAATCTAGTTCACCCATGTTAAACATTCATACCCCGCCTATGAACAGCCGACTACTGGTAGTTAAGTGATGTTCACGTGAACATCGATGAGTCATTACAGTTTTAGATAGTTATAGTATAGTCATTATTGAAATGGGTAATAGGGGGGGTGAAAACAGGTCAAAAAGTTCATATGTCCCATGGTCCAAAAGTCAATAGATTTTTGTCTAAATGGCTTTATAGTTTACAACTTTAAATGCTTTAAAGCGACCACAATCACCACAATCTTACTAATTTTTATAATCTAATCTAAAACGTTTTTAAATTGGGTAATTAACAAATAAATGGCATTAAGTTTTTCTAAGTTAAGCCAAAATTTGTAGTCAGTAAGTAAGTTTCATTAAATTAAATATTTAAAACACACATGACAACCGCGCGTCGATCTTTCATCATTCTTATCGAACCGGCAATCGATCGCAAACGGTAACAGTGGTTAGTTATCGTTTTTTTGTTTTTGTTTGCGTACGTCGTCGTGTCTATTTACAATGTTCTCGAAGAATTCGACGACATGTTGTTAGTTTACGTAGAAGCTCGACAGAATTCAAATCTTGCAGCTCAAATTTATACGACAGATTTCGCCAACGGGTACACCCAGACAGAAGGACATTTGTGCAAGTGTACCAGAGACTTCGAGATACAGGAAGTGTTCAGCCCACTACTATTCGCACTCGTAAAAGACAGGTTACTGGAGAGCAGGAGGAACAAATTTTGAATATCGTGGAAATCAATGCAGACCGCCGCGTAGGACTATCGCCTACCATAGTCCATAGAATCCTACGGGAAAATTTGCTTTATCCCTACCATGTACAACGAGTGTAGGCCTTGTTAATATTTGGGCGGGTATTCTTGACGATCAGGTAATTGGCCCTTTCGAGTTACCCCCAAAGTTGTCAGGAGAAGGATATCTTAGCTTTCTAGCCAATAACCTACCAGAACTTTTGGAACGGATCTTAGATAACATGCCATTACAACGGAGAAAGAATTGTGGTTTCTTCATGACGGGGCACCACCACGCATTTTTAGAGGCGTCATTCAGTATTTGAATGAATATTATCCAAATCGCTGGATCGGTCGAAATGCTCCTGATCCTCGAAAATGGCCAGCAAGATCTCCTGACCTCAATCCGACGGATTTCTGGTATTGGGGAGAACTTAAATGGATGGTTTATGGGGCTGGTCCAATAACAACTGAAGCACAACTTCGTGAAAAAATTTTTAATGCGGCTGAAATAATAAATGGACTGCATCGAGGACCTAAAGTAAGAAGAAACTAGGTTCGTTGTAATGGAGATTGTGTGGAAAGTGGAGGACGACATTTTGAACACCTTCTTTAAATACAAAAAAAGTGCAGTGTGGGATTTAAAAAGAAAAACAATGTATGTATCAAAATTGTGTTCCGTATTTATAAGTGGATTTTTTTAATACGTTCAATAAACTTTCACACACCAGGTGAAGCGCTGAGACAGTTCGTGGTAAGTCCGTTTTCTTCAATTGTTTGCATTTTACGAGTACATTATCAAATAATGAAATAATACCTAAGAGTCAAAAATAACAAACTCCATCTTTATTTACACTGCGTGCCGTCGTCATTTGCCTCTTATATTGCGGCGTTGTCAGATTTTATTTTACTTTAAAGTCGCTTTTCTCTAAAAAAAATGCCGTTTTGACCCTCATGTTTTATGAAACTTTTAGCTTCTTTTAACTCCTTCTATCACCCATTTAAATAATGACTATCATAACGTTTACACCCTGTATAATGTTTTCACCGTTTCATATTGAAAATAAGAAGTATATTTGTTTAAATTGGACTATATCCATTTTGCGCTTTTAAAAATTCAAATAGATATATTCCTAAGCCAAATAATGTAATAAAGTACTCATTTATTCTATCAAATTAAAAATGAATCAAGTATTCTCTTATACATTAAACATACACTTTAATTAGAATGACCGATCAACATAGCGTGCCATTACACGATTTCATATAACCTCTATTGTCTATTTCAGGGGGGCGGGCGTTAATAATTGTGAGAAGTCTGCTTAAGAAATACTTAAGCGGCCACCTACAAGACCCCTACATATGAAATGCTGCGCTATTTTCACTTATAATTTTTGCTAGGACTAGTCGTATTGACAAAGCAACAATTAGCAATACTGGACAAAGTATTTCCATTATTGTTGTTTCATCGCCTCGAGAAGGGTCAATTGACCCTAGAAGGTTTAAAGTCAACATTTTGTCACGCAAAAAGTAGACTAAACATTTAGAAAAATCAGTAAAAATCATATTTTTCACTTAAAACGCAAAAAAGTCCTTAGTACGATGATTAGTTGTGTCCAGTTAATTATATTCATTTATATTTTCAGAAAAATGAGACACAAAGATTCTTACAAAGGTGACAACACCAAAAATGTTCTCATTGTTGGAGCAGGAAGAGTAGCTGCACCATTGGTGGAATATCTGAATAGAGATAAAACGTTAGGCATAACAGTGGCTTGTGAACAAAGAGAGTTGGGAGATAACTTAGCCCAATCCTACCCTGGTGAGTAAAACTAGATTATGCGAGTACAATGATTCGATTTGTTTGTTTGTTTGTTGAAGATTTATTTAGCATTAATGCTACAATAATTTTGTAAAATCTTTAATACTGATCCTTTAAAACCAGAGTGATGTAATTTTCTGTTTGTTTATTTATTTAGCATGATTGCTACAATTACATTAATTTAAAATAACTGCAACAATGACATAACATACAGATATTTAGAAAAACAAAATTTGCATCTCTAAGAATTTTCACTGACCATGAAATATTTCTTTAATTTTATTTTAAACATCTTTAAATTACAAGTACGCTTTTATCATTATTTAGTTTATTAAATTCAAGTAATCCTTTCAGAAATATTGATTTGCTAGTTATATTACTTTTGTAATTTTGTAAATGAAAATCTATATTTCCTCTTGTTTAAATTTAAATATAAAAATAAGAACCAAATATGATTTTATTTTGCTGCACTTATTTTTATACGATATTATTCTCATAGCTTAATTTTTCAGAAGTTGTAATTTTGAGAATACAGCTTCATTGATAGTGAACAATATAGTTGAACAGTATAGTAAAGGCAAAATAATGATTCCATTATAAGCTTTCTTTGAATATGTACTAAGACTATGAGAAGCCCTATAAAAGTAATTTCTTTTTTGGTAATTTTAATTTTAATATATACGCATATACCTAAATATTTATTTGATTTAACATTTTCAATTATTTCACCATTTATAGTATTTTAATTTAGGTATTTCCCGATTTGCATACATGTTGTTTCAGAAGAATTCAATTTTACATAGTTTATTTACATTTAACCAATTTGTGTATATGAACGTACCATCTGCAAATATCTGAATTTTACAATAATCTAAAATACTTATTACAAATGTCATTGTATAAAATAAATAGTACTGGGCCTAGTTTACTAACTTATGGTACACCAACTGAAATATTTTCTGAGCTTGATAATTTGAATCCAATATTGGTCTTTTGACTTCTGTCAATTAAGTAGTTTTGTAGAATTTTGAATACATACTCTTTAAATCCCTAGTGATGCAATTTTGTAAGTAATTTATCCATGTCAATAGTCTCAAACGCCCTTTTGAAGTCCAAAAACACTGTTACTGTATGTTTCCTATTATCCATACATCTTCACCCTTAAGATCCATTTGTTTTGCTGTTTCAGTTGCATTAATCTTTCTGAATCCAGCTTAAAATTTGGTTGAAGTTTTATTTCCTTGAATATTTATTGGCCGCATATTGGTGTACAACTCGGAATTCTTAACTTTCGAGACAAGAGTTATGGTAGAACACTTCAGTTCTGTTAGAAATTCACCATATTTTAAAGAGTTATTTATATATATAATTCTTGCTCCAATAATAACAAAACATTCATTAAGCATCCTTTTAGACAAAACCTTACTCTTATTTTGATTTAATTTCAATTTTTATATAATCTTTTTGACACCACTAATATTTATTGTTATAAACTCACTGAATGATGCATTAAAATCTGATTTAATGGGACATTGATCGGGATTACGCAATAAATAGTAAACAAATGCTCGCTCAGGAAATACGTCCGTACTCTTAAAATGCATACATTTCAAAAATGTTCTCTGAACAGCTTCGATCTTAATAATATGGGTCGCATAGTGTGCGTACTAAATCAAGTCACCATCATACTCTAACTTGCTGAGTACATAATTTTTATGCACAGGGTGGCGCATCGAAAACGAAACAGACGCATTTACTGGCAGCTCATTTTTTTTTGGAAAAACGGTCAGACCCGTCGATTTTGTTTTCGAGGCAGACACAAGTTTGGCAAAAAATCACGTTAACACATGCAGCCCCCTGGGCGGGGTGACACCAACCCTAAAATCTTAAATGGAAAGGGGGGGTCGAGTGATACCTTATTTTAAAGGTCTTTCAATTTCCTTTATAATGATATAAAATTAATCTACTTCAGCCAGTTCAGTAGTTTTGAAGATTTATTGATTTAAAGCTTAAAGTAGACTTTAATAGGTACATCAGATTAGTTTGTACTACTTTCAGAAGAAATTTGGCTGAAAGAATTTACTTAATAAGTAAATGCTTTTCATCACTACGCCCATGGTTTGTTTATCATTTTGTTGTTGAAAATAGCTATTGGAGCGTTTTTTTGTGGCAAAACAGTTATTTCTTGAAGAAAGATAAGGAAATATCTCGTACTTATTTTAAATAGGAATTTAGTACATAGTTTACGATTGATTTGACCAAGCTTTGTTGCTAAAATAACTTGTAACGCTTTATTACATAAATTAACCATGGTATATCCCACGGCAGAAAGAGATGAAACTATCGAAATATTTTTCGGAAATAATCAGTGCGCTAATAGAACAGCAGAAATATTTAATGAGCGACATGAGAACAGTAACGTGCATCGAAAATATTTTCTAGAACTTGTAGCTAAATTTCGGGAAACTGGGTCAGTCGCCAATAAAAAACGCAACATTGAAAATCCCATAAGGAACGAAGCAATAGAAGTGGGGGTTTTAGGGCAAGTTTATGTAGATCCTACGTTAACTACCCGCAAATTGGAGACTGTGTGTGGTGTTAGTCGACGTACTGTCCAACGGATTCTAAAGGTCCATAGTTTTCATCCGTATAAAATTCACCTGGTACAAGATCTTAATGAAGACGATTTTGATCGGCGATTACAATTTTGTGAAGATATGTTTGTTGTTGAAAATAGCTATTGGGCGTAGTGATGAAAAGCATTTACTTATTAAGTAAATTCTTTTAGCCAAATTTCTTCTGAAAGTAGTACAAACTAATCTGATGTACCTATTAAAGTCTACTTTAAGCTTTAAATCAGTAAATCTTCAAAACTACTGAACTGAAGTACATTAATTTTATATCATTATATTTAAGATTTTGGGGGTGGTGTCACCGCCGCTTAGGAGGCTGCACGTGCTAACATAATTTTTTGCCAAACTTGTGTCCCCCTCGAAAACAAAATCGTCGGGTCTGAGCGTTTTAAAAAAAACTGATCTGCCAGTAAATGCGTCTGTTTCGTTTTCGATGCGCCACCCTGTATAATTTTAAGAACTGGCTCTAGCATTCCTAATGATGAACTCCAACATTTTATTAACCGACGAAGCAGTGGGCAGAAAAAAACATTTCTTGATCGAAAAGAATTCCTATCTTCTCACGACAATATTAAAAAATTTAAATACCCTTTTTTCTTGTTCGAAAAGACTTCTTTCAAAGCTACATACTAAAAATTCAATGTAAATAATCATAATCTACACACTCGTTTCCAATCTTGATTGTTGCAGGAATTGAAAGTGTTTATTTGAATGCTGCTGACAACCACGCTGCTCTACAAGAGCTTGTGAGTAGACACAACGTCGTTGTGTCCATCTTACCAGCGGACTTGCATTCTACAGTAGCAAAGGCTTGCATAAATGCCAAAGTACACATGGTCACCGCCAGTTATATGGCCAACGAAATTAAAGATCTACATCAAGCTGCAGCACAAGCTGGAGTTACTATCTTGAATGAAGTTGGGCTGGATCCCGGTAAGCCAACCGCATGGAAATATATTTTGAAATTAAGAAATAGTCTTGGCCGATATGTAACTGACTGGTTTGTATCTTGAATATTCGCGAAATGACATAAAATACGTCCATTTTTTTCATCTCAATTTTTAAAAACTTATCTCTATATCTCAAAAACGGTGACACTTTTAAATAGGTAAGTTTTTGTTATTTGGGAATTCAGTCCAAAGCCTATCTTCTCCTTAAGTTTGTCGTGGCACTTTTTGGACACCCTGTATACCAGTATTGTGACTTGTGACAAATCTAAGTCTGAGTAATATATTAGCTATACAGATTGCACCGAGTCCTCCTAGTGTGTACTAAGCTTAAGAATTAATACTCTGAACGGTCCATTAAATAAATCAAGTAATTGGTGCAAATACTGACACAATCAAGCACTTCTATTATACAAAAATCACATCGTCTAAATGCAATCCATTACGATCACGGCACTCATATAAACGACGTCTAAAATTGTCGATGACTGCGCGGCAAGTCAACACTGTAATGCTTGCCATTTCTCTTCGGATATTTTCTTTCAGGACATCAACTGATCGCGGAGTGGTGTCGTACACTTTACTCTTGAGGTAGCCCCATAAAAAGAAGTCCATTGGGGTCAAATCTGGACTACGTGATGGCCAGGAAATGTCTCCTCTTCGAGAAATTACTTTGCTGGGAAAAAGTTGACAGACGACAGGCATAGAAGTGTTGTAGGTGTGGGCAGTTGCTCCGTCCTGTTGAAACCAGGTCTGCGTATTATAGCCTGGAAAATTCTGCAACGCTGTTGTCAAAAACTCTTCTATCATTGCTACATACCGCTCCGAAGTAACAGTTAATGCGCGACCTCTGTCGTCCTCAAAAAATAAGGGCCTACGATGCCATGCGCTGACATAGCAGCCCAAACTGTAACTTTAGGGCTGTGGAAGGGCTTCTGATGCTTACGCCTTGGATTTTTGGGGCTCCAATAACGACAATTTTTAGTTACATGCCCGTTTAAATGGAAGTGAGCCTCGTCCGAGAACAACACATTATTGAGCGAAGAAAATCGATTCAACATTTCATTCGCAAAGTTTAGTCTCTGAATAGCGTCATTATCTTTTAATTCCTGCACTAACTGAATTTTGTAAGCGTGCAGACGTAAATCTTTCCTTAAAATCAGCTGTAAAGATGTTCTGGGTACGTTTAGTGCACTGGAACGCTTACGAGTAGACTGGGTAAGATTTTGACGAACAGACTGTGCCACAATGTTGATGTTTTCTTCAATACGAGTTGTCCTTGGTCGACCCCACCGCTGTTTATCTAACGTCGAACCAGTCTCTTCGAACTTAGCAACCCAGTTCTTAATCGTTTGAGCTGTTGGACACTTTGTAAAATTGTGTAAATTGTGGTATTCTCAATCTTTACGCCGCGCAATGGTTGCCGAATCATTATTTTGATAAAACGCGTGCACACAAAAAGCACGATCCGCTCCAGTGAAACACTCCATGGCGACTGAATTCCCAGACACTGAAGATACTGCCCCCACCTCGCCCGCGCCGCTCACGCTCACCCGTTAAATTTTATTCAAATTTGAAATTTCAAAGGACTTATGGACCACCCTGATCAGCGGGTGATAAAAATATCAATATGTACGAGCCCCTTTCCACTTCAGTTGGCCCACTTCAAGATTTGTACCAAAATATGCCTTTATAAACTAAACATGACGAAACTATTTACTTCTAAAACAATTTATTTTCTCAAAAACATTTTAGATACACTCTAGTCGTAAAAAATACATATTTGAAATCACTTAGACCTATAACTAATAGAACATCCGAACAATGTGCGATTAAATGCGCGAGGTTAACAAAGCAACAATTGAAAGACTACCATTGGGTAACATCACCTTTATATTTTTTATTACGGCTGAAATTCTTTGGGGCATAGTGTTAACCAAGTTTTGGCAAAAATTTGGTGTAAAACAATCCCATATTTCTTGAAGCTTTTGTCTCAGTTCGGTGATTGTACGAGCAGGATGTTGTCGTAGAACCTTTTTCATATCGTGCCACAAAGTTTCAATAGGTGACAGATCTGGACTGCTAGAAACCCATTTCAAAAGTGGTACATTATTTTCTTCCATCCATTTTATAGCCTTTTTTGAGGTATGGCACGCTGCACCATCTTGCTGAAACACAAAATCTTGGCCGGATATCAAACATTCTTCTATCACTGGTAAATGCGATTCTTCTAAAATTGCCAAATATTTGTTTGTATCCACATTTCCATCAATAAAATGAAGTTTTCCTACTCCTTTTGATGACATACTGCCCCAGACCATAATGGGTGCTGGAAATTTCAATTTTCTCTTCAGACAGTCATCATGGAATGCTTCTTTTTTTTGCGAATAACTCTACTGCGACTGTCCCCAACACAAACTTCGAATCGGGCCTCATCATTCCATTGTATTGCACACCATTGTTGAGGTGTCCATTGTCTATGTTTTTTAGTCCATCTCAGTTTTTTTTGCAGTGGAGTTAATGGTGGCTTTTCTTTGGCCTATAAACAAGTTTTGCAACTTTAGGGTTTTTACTTCACTTTTTTTTATAAGAAAACTTACCTCGCAAGTGCTAAATCCCAGTTTGTGGGCCTCTCTATGAGTTGTAGACCTCGAAATTCTCCTTCCAACAGCGTCACTCCACAGAGCACTTAATTGTAAATAATTGGCACGCTTGTTTTTCACGATTATTCTTCTTAATGCTCTTCGGTCCGCATTTGTGATATTACTTTTTTTAACATATCGTGGCTTAATATTAACTGAACCAGTTACGTTAAATCTTCTAACAATATTTCTCACACGGTACCGCGATAAGTCTAACAAAGTTGCAATTTCTGAGTTTGATTTCACAGAATTAAAAAATTTAATTATCAGTAACCGAATTTTCTCACTAATAACCTTTCCTCTACCCATTTTGAAAACCGTAACTACCAAAAACTATTTTAAACGTATTCTGACAGCTGACAGCAACCTATGCGTTATAGACTTATTTTGCATTGAAGTGAAAATATACTAAGTGACATATAAATCCGAACACCCAGTTTAAAAGGTTTTATTTTAATAAAAGTTGGTGAATGTATTTATCTTACTGTAAATAACAAGTGACAAAATGTTCAGCCTTATCAGTTGGACATTCCGGTTTTTATACTGTTTTTTTTTTAATTCACTAACGCTCTAAAAATGAATATTTCAGCCGCAGTAAAGAATCAACGTTGGCGGATTTTGGTTCTTGACATCCTTTACGATCGGTTACGATGCCTAGAGTACGGAGACCTGTACGATTTCGTCAACTTAGTGAGTTTGATAGGGGCCGTATAGTGTGACTTCGGGAAGCTGGACTTTCTTTTCGGGCAATTGCAGTTAGAGTGCAAAGAAGTGTAGACAGACACTGTGGTTAGGTGTTGTCAGGCATGGCTTCGAGAAGGCCGTACGCAAAGAGCAAGGGGCACTGGACGCGGCCGTAGAACAATAGACCGTGAAGATCGTAGCCTAAGATTATTGGCCTTAAGGGACCGTTTCGCCACTACCAGGTCCATTGCAAATGAACGGTTTGCAGAACACGGAAGACCTATTGGCATGCGAAGTGTTTACCGACGAATGAGAAGTTTTGGCTTGTTTTCATACCGGCCACACTCGGTCCTCACTTTAACTCAAGAACACCGACGTAATCGCCTTGAGTGGTGCAGACAACGGTCACTCTGGGATCAGGAATGGAACAGTATTGTCTTTGGTGACGAGTCTCGATTTTGTTTAGGCATGCACGATGGTCGTGCAAGGGTTAGAAGACGACGTGGTGAAAGGAGGAATCCACAGTTTTTTGTTGAAAGACATGTTCATCACACTGTTGGAGTTATGGTTTGGGGTGCTATAGCTTATGGTTCCAGGTCACCTTTAATCTTCATCAGAGGTAACATGAACGCGCAGCGTTATATCCACGAAGTTCTAGAACCCCATCTTTTACCCTATCTTGACACCCTGGCAGATCCAACTTTCCAATAAGATAATGCCCGACCACAGGTTGCAAGAGTCACAATAGACTTCTTTCAACATAATGATATCACATTGTTACCATGGCCACCAAGATCTCCCGACTTATCCCCAATTGAGCACGTGTGGGATATGATGGGTAGGAGATTGCTCAATTTGCACCGTCCTCCTCAGACTCTAGAAGCACTTCGAGAGGAGTTGGTGGTTGCCTGGAATGAGATACCACAGGAGGACATCGACCACCTGATCAGAAGCATGCCTAGGCGCGTTGGAGAATGCGTAGCACATCAGGGTGCATCCACACATTATTAAAGGTCAAAGGGCTTTAAAGCAGTGCAATCATTTTGAAATTTTTATCATTTACTTATTATGCTTCATTAAGTACTTATACAAAATTTTATTAAAATAAAACCATTTAAACTTGGTGTTGGGATTTATATGTCACTTAGTATAGGTTGATATGCTGTAATTGCAACATGTGATATTTTTATGCTGCAAATTTGATTAGGGAGTGATAAAGTTGGTGTTTTCTACTATATATTATCAAAATATCCATTGTTAATATTTTAAACTTATAACACCCCGCTACATTTTTATTATTTGTGTTTGATAAGAAAAAAAACTAAGATTTCAATAGTTGGCCCAACTGAAGTGGGAAGGAGCTCGTAGAACAAAACTGCTAGTTCTTGTCCATTAGAGGGAAGTTATGAACCGGTAATTTGATGATTCATGTCTCCTATTGGAAACATTGCCTTTCTAGAACTACGTAATTCATTCGACATATTGAGTGAACGAATACAGTGCGTTTACTAATACGAGGGATGTCTCTTATGTTTTGCATATAGAAATATAGTAGACCGCACGGATCGAACGTCAGTACTGAATCTTAACCTCACTCTTCAGTAAACTTAAATTCAAAGTTTCACAACAATTCGTGCAGTGTTCTCACTACAGTGAAGTTTTAAGTGTCACCAAGTTATTAGAAAAATGGAACTCAACCGAGAACATTTTCGCGCCATAATTTATTACAACTTTCAGATACAATTATCGCAAGAAGAATGCCTTGCTGAGTTACTGTCTGCTTTCGGCAACGAAGCGCCACATCAGTCGACAATTTCCCGTTGGTATGAAGAATTCAAACGTGGACGGGTGAGTCTTAGCGACGATCCCAGGGTAGGTGCACCAAAAACGGAAGTCACCGAGGAAAACGTCGATGCTGTGCGCAAACTCATCATTGAAGATAGACATGTGACATATCGCGAGATTGAGGCGTCCTTTGAAGATCTCAAAGACCTCAATTAGGAGTAAGAAAATTAGTTTCTCGTTGGATACCCCACCTGTTGACTGACGAGCAGAAAGCAACCAAGGTTAATTGGTGTCAAAAAACGCTTGAACGTTTCAATTCCGGAAACTCAAAAAATGTGTACAGCAATGTTGGTGGTGATGAATCATGGATTTACTGAAATACACAGAAAATAAACGACAGTCGGCTGTTTGGGTGTTCCAAGGTGAAGAAAAGCCATCAAAAGTCATCCGTTCTCGAAGTGTTTCGAAAAAGATGGTCGCGACATTTGTGTCAAAAGCGGGACATATTGCAACAATTCCTCTTAATGAGCAAAGAACTGTTACTGCGGATTGGTATACCACCATATGTTTGCCAAAAGTCATCACCAAGCTTGGAAAAATCAACCCCGAAAGAAGAATCATCCTCCACCAAGACAATGCAAGCTCGCACACAGCCCAAAAAACAAGGCAGTATTTAACGAAAGAAAAAGTGGAATTATTGGACCATCCTCCATATAGTCCCGATCTAAGTCCTAACGATTTCTTTACTTTCCCGAAAATTAAAAACAGACTGCGTGGTCAAAGGTTCCGGTCACCAGAAGAAGCAGTTGACGCATTCAAAAATGCCGTTTTGGATCTGCCAGCAAACGAGTGGAATAAGTGCTTCGAAAATTGGTTTGAGTGCATGCAGATGTGTATGAATCTTCGTGGAGAATACTTCAAAAAACAATAAAGTCATTTTAAACTACCTGTTGTTTCATTTCAATATGCAAAACTTAAAAGACATCCCTCGTATGCAAGTCTTGACATATACCAACGCAACTCGGCAAGGGTTGCCCCGGTTCTAGGTACATACAACTTTATTTACAGTTGCTGTGACATTGTTCAAGCAAAATTAGGGAGTATGCGTTTATAAAAAAGAACTTCAATTTTTTTGGGACACCCTACTGTAGAATTACGTAAAATCGTCTTGTACTCGTATTAGGTTTTTTGCCAAGTCGACTCTAGGTTGGGACAAAAGGGATGTCTCGTGCCTCACAACCACAGAAACATTGGACTTCTTGCACTAAATAGCCCCGTTTATATTTTGATATAGGTATCGATCATTTACTGGCATTGGAGTGCATTGAAGAGGCTAAAGAAGGTGGAGGCCGCATTACATCATTCGAATCTTTCTGTGGAGGATTACCGGCTCCGGAATTCAGCGACAATCCTTTGCGATACAAATTCTCCTGGTCACCTCATCGAGCGCTCTTGAATACTCTCTCCTCAGCTAGGTAAGAAGATCTAGATCTAGTTGTTGTTGTAGATTTATTTGGCATTAATGCTACAATGTCAATTTTGTATAACGATTCGTTTACATATTTTTCTTCAATCAATTTTCTGTAATTTTACATTCTTGCCTATTAAAATTACGTCACTATGCACTTTGATTATTCCTAAAGTGATTTTTTAATTTCACCTTAAACATTTTTAAATTCGAACACTGTTTAATATCATTATTCAATTTATTGAATTCAAATACTCTCTTTTGAAATATAGGTTTACTAGTTATGATACTACGAGTATTACAATTTTGCAGATGAAAATCTATACTGCCTCTAGTTTCGTAGTGCATTTAATTGCACCACAACCGACTCTATCAGACAGGCCTTGGTTAGACACGGGGTTGGATCAATCCTAATAGTTTGGGTCGCCTCGTTAGGCTCAGCAGTATGGGTGTCTACGTGCAAGCCTATGCTGATGACGTAAGCATAGTAGTTAGGGGGCGTTTCTGTAGAACAGTCTCGGAAGTTATGCAGGGCGTTCTGCGCTCCGTGCAATCGTGGTCTAGGGAAGTCGATGTTTCTGTTAATGCTGAAAAGACCGAGCTGATCCTATTCACTAGGAGAAGAAAGCATGACAGGCTGGTCATACCGACCTTCTTTGGGACTAGATTAGTTTTGTCCCAGTCCGTGAAATATCTGGGAATTATCCTAGATTGCAAACTGAACTGGAGAGAGCATGTGGAATACAAGGTTAGCAAGGCTCGCAATTCGATGTGGGCTTGTAGACGTGTTGTCGGGGTAAGGTGGGGGCTTAAACCCAAAGTGGTATACCGGCTCTACACGACGATAGTACGTCCATCTCTCTTGTACGGCTCCCTGGTCTGGTGGCCTTGCATTAGAACTGAGACAACTAAGGCCAAACTCAATAAAATTCAGCGTTTGGCCTGTATTAGCATTACAAGCGTTGTTGGATCTCCCACCGTTGGATCTGGTGATCCGCGGTGAAGCGAGAGTAGTCGCTCATCGACTGTGGAGTCAGGGCAGCTGGGCTTTCTTGAATCCTGTCAAGGGGCATACTGCCATTTTAGTCGAATTACAAAGGGAGGACCCCGTCCTTCTAAGCAGAGGTGATCGTATTACCCCTAAATATCGCTTCAGCCGCAAGTTTATTGTGGAGTATCCAACGAGGGAGGAGTGGGACGCCGGTAGCCGGGGACTCACCGAAGTGAGCGGGCAGGTCTGGTACACGGACGGCTCGGTCACCGAAGAGGGCTCAGGTGCTGGGGTCTCTGGGCCTAGAACTAGGCTATCTCTGCCTCTCGGTGGATACACCACCATTTTCCAGGCAGAAATCTTTGGCTTGTGTATCTCACATTCTGGAGGAGGGTGGGCCTAGGAGAAGAATAACAATCTTATCCGACAGCCAGGCTGCAATGAAAGCACTAAGTGCCTGTAAGATTACTTCGAGTCTTGTATTGCAATGCAGGGAGGCTCTGGATTGCCTCGCAGCGAGGCATCCGGTATCGTTAATATGGGTACCGGGGCACGCTGGGATAAGGGGCGGACACTCTGGCGAAAACAGGATCAGCCAGCAAGCTCGTTGGTCCTGAGCCAGCTCTAGGAGTGACCGCGCATAAAGCTAGGAGGAACATGGAGACGTGGGTTGCAAGACAACACTTTCAGAAATGGAGAAGTATCTCTAGACATCTCCGCCAGGCACGGGAGCTCATTGAAGGGCCCAGTGCTAAGGATGGACGCTTCTGCCTATCTCTGGATAGAGCCAACCTAAGGTTGCTGGTTGTCTGGCCATAACACGTTAAGGCGTCACCTCCACGTGATGGGGGTGGCTGAGGATCCCTTGTGCGAACGCTGCGGAGTAGAGGAAGATACCTCGGCGCACGTTTTGTGTCGCTGTGAAGCTCTGAGCTACTATAGGCAGACTATACTCGGGACCATTACTTTGGACCCTCAGTACGTCAAGGAGCTTGGACTCAAGGCGATTCTCAACTTCGCTAAAAGGGCGAGGCTTGTGATCTAAGGAATGTAGAGGTGCATAAGGGCCCGCTTAAGTGGCCTATGCACTGGCTTCTTATGGTGGCCGGGATGCCTCTAATTTTAAGATTCATTCATTCATTCATATTGCCTCTAGTTTCGTAGTTATGATAATGACTATTTAATTTTGTGAAGTTTTCTAAATGTGGTGGTAATAAATGATTTTTTAATTTGAATATGAAAACGAGAACTAAATAATATATGAAATTTTTCACATTCAACCACTACAGTTCTTCTAACTAGACTTAATCCTAGCATATTTGTTTTTATTTAAAAAGATTCTCATAGCTTTATTTCGTAGAACTTGTAATTTTGAAAATGTTTTCATTTGCTGTAAACAAGATGGTTGAACACCATACAAAAATGAGGAAGAATAGTATTATACATATTTTTTTGGAATACATACTATTATGAGAAACTCTATAGAAGTAATTTATTTTATTCGATATTTTTTAAACAATGTAATCATAATGCTCGTGAAACAGTAGTTTATTATCCACATATACTAAGTGACATATAAATCCGAACACCCAGTTTAAATGGTTTTATTTTAATAAAATTTTGTATAAGTACTTAATGAAGCATAATAAGTAAATGATACAAATTTCAAAATGATTGCACTGCTTTAAAGCCCTTTGACCTTTAATAATGTGTGGATGCACCCTGATGTGCTACGCATTCTCCAACGCGCCTAGGCATGCTTCTGATCAGGTGGTCAATGTCCTCCTGTGGTATCTCATTCCAGGCAACCACCAACTCCTCTCGAAGTGCTTCTAGAGTCTGAGGAGGACGTTGCAAATTGAGCAATCTCCTACCCATCATATCCCACACGTGCTCAATTGGGGATAAGTCGGGAGATCTTGGTGGCCATGGTAACAATGTAACATCATTATGTTGAAAGAAGTCTATTGTGACTCTTGCAACATGTGATCGGGCATTATCTTGTTGGAAAGTTGGATCTGCCAGGGTGTCAAGATAGGGTAAAAGATGGGGTTCTAGAACTTCGTAGATATAACGCTGCGCGTTCATGTTACCTCTGATGAAGATTAAAGGTGACCTGGAACCATAAGCTATAGCACCCCAAACCATAACTCCAACAGTGTGATGAACATGTCTTTCAACAAAAAACTGTGGATTCCTCCTTTCACCACGTCGCCTTCTAACCCTGGCACGACCATCGTGCATGCCTAAACAAAATCGAGTCTCGTCACTAAAGACATTACTGTTCCATTCCTGATCCCAGAGTGACCGTTGTCTGCACCACTCAAGGCGATTACGTCGGTGTTCTCGAGTTAAAGGGAGGACCCAGTGTGGCCGGTATAAAAACAAGCCAAAACTTCTCATTCGTCGGTAAACACTTCGCATGCCAATAGGTCTTCCGTGTTCTGCAAACCATTCATTTGCAATGGACCTGGTAGTGGAGAAGAAACGGTCCCTTAAGGCCAATAATCTTAGGCGGCGATCTTCACGGTCTGTTGTTCTACGGCGGCGTCCAGTGCCCCTTGCTCTTTGCGTACGGCCTTCTCGAAGCCATGCCTGACAACACCTAACCACAGTGTCTACACTTCTTTGCACTCTAACTGCAATTGCCCGAAAAGAAAGTCCAGCTTCCCGAAGTCCCACTATACGGCCCCTATCAAACTCACTAAGTTGACGAAATCGTACAGGTCTCCGTATTCTAGGCATCGTAACCGATCGTAAAGGATGTCAAGTACCAAAATCCGCCAACGTTGATTCTTTACTGCGGCTGAAATATTCATTTTTAGTGAATTAAAAAAAAGCAGTATAAAAACCGGAATGTCCAACTGATAAGGCTGAAAATTTTTTCACTTGTTATTTACAGTAAGATAAATATATTCACCAACTTTTATTAAAATAAAACCATTTAAACTGGGTGTTCGGATTTATATGTCACTTAGTATATGTCACTTAGAATATATAGATTTCCGCTCGACAGGTTTCTTGAAGTATGAGGATCCGTTCTTACAAAGTTTCACAAAGGCTCTTAATGTTACAGATATTTAAGAAAAGGTCAAGTTGTCGAAATCAGTGAAGGTGGTGAACTGATGAGAGCTGCGAAACAACTCGATTTTCTTCCTGGATTTAACCTAGAAGGCTTCCCTAACAGAGACAGTATTCCTTATGCTAAGTATTATGGTAAGTTTCCAATGTCATTTAGTCAATACGCTTCACCAACAGTTAAGACAAATATGCAATTTTCAACGAATATAATCAAGTATACAGGGTGTTCCAACGAAAATGGTTTAGTTTAGTTGATATGTTACTAGTACATATTTTAAAATTGCTAGTATATATACAGGGAGCTCCATAACTTCGCGCCATAGCTAGCATATGTTTTTTTAAATAGAATATCCTATTTTTTTATTTCATCTTTGAATAGAACTTCCAAAATCAAGAAGTTTGATATCATAGAACATATGGTTTCGATTTTTTGATATTTGGTTAAACGTCTGAAAAAGTTCCCAGCTCTGACGGCTCGCAGCTCCGCCATTTTGCAGGATATTTAGATAAGCTCTAGTTCACAAAAATTTCAGTGTCATCAATGTTAAGCTGATTTGGAAAAAGTTCTGAAATTCCAAATGGCACACCCTGTATATTTCTACATCGGTAAATAGATTTTTTTGCTGAATATTTTATATTTTTCTTGGAATTAATAGCAATAACACGAAAACAGCTCGAAAAAGTGGTATAAAACCACATATCAAAAATAGTTCCCAAGGAAAGCTATTTCATGATAAGCAGTATACAGGGCGATTTATTTGATGCTTATGACAGAAGGTACATTAATATATATACAGGGTGGCGCATCTAAAACAAAACAGACGCATTTACTGGCAGCTCAGTTTTTTTTTTTGGAAAAACGCTCAGACCCGTCGATTTTGTTTTCGAGGGGGACACAAGTTTGGCAAAAAATCACGTTAACACGTGCAGCCCCCTGGGCGGGGGGAACACCAACCCTAAAATTTTAAATGGAAAGGGAGGTTATTTTAAAGGTCTTTCAATTCGCTTTATAATGATGTAAAATACATAAGCTTCAGTTCAGTGGTTTTGAAGATTTATTGATTTAAAGCTTAAAGTCGACTTTAATAGGGACATCAGATTAGTTTGTACTACTTTCAGAAGAAATTTGACTGAAAGAATTTACTTACTAAGTAAATGCTTTTCTTCACTACGTCCATGGTTTGTTTATCATTTTGTTGTTGAAAATAGCTATTGGAGCGTTTTTTGTGGCAAAAAAGTTATTTCTTGAAGAAAGATAAGGAAATATCTCGTACTTATTTTGAATAGGAATTTAGTACATAGTTTGCGATTGATTTGACCAAACTTTGTTGCTAAAATAACTTGTAACGCTTTATTACATAAATTAACCATTGTATATTCCACAGCAGAAAGAGTTGAAATTATCGAAATATTTTTCGGAAATAATCAGTACGCTAATAGAACAGCAGAAATATTTAATGAGCGACATGAGAGCAGTAACGTGCATCGAAAATATGTTCTAGAACTTGTAGCTGAATTTCGGGAAACTGGGTCAGTCGCCAATAAAAAACGCAATATTGATAATCCCATAAGGAACGAAGCAATACAAGTGGGGGTTTTAGGGCAAGTTTATGTAGATCCTACGTTAAGTACCTGCAAATTGGAGACTATGTGTGGTGTTAGTCGACGTGCTGTCCAACGGATTCTAAAGGTCCATAGTTTTCATTCGTATAAAATTCACTATCTGGAATTACTGGAAGATGCCATAGAGCCTGCATTAACAGCCATAATTGAAAATCAGAATGATCGGCGGTACATTGCGAATAGGTTGATGTTCCAACAGGATGGTGCCCCACCACATTACGCATTACGTGTTCGTCAATATTTAGATCAGACGTTTCCAAATCGATGGATTGGTAGAAGAGGTGCCATTGAATGGCCCCCAAGATCGCCAGATTTAGCCCCTTTGGATTTCTTTATGTGGAGTCATTTAAAAAGCAAAATTTATGCTACTTAGCCAACATCATTAGAAGACCTGCGACAAAGAATTGTGAACGAGCTCCTTCAAATTACTCCTCAAACATTGCAAAATGTGCGGCAACGTTTTGAGCAAAATATTTATTATTGCATGGAGAGTCATGGTGGCCGTTTTCAACATTTACTTGCCTAACGGGTCAGTTCATTCTTCATTTTTAAATTACTTTGCTGCCAAATGTATTGATCTCCACTAATGATGATGTATTAGTTTTATTTAAGCTTTAAGTCAATAAATCTTCAAAACTACTGAACTGAAGCTCATGTATTTTACATCATTATAAAGTGAATTGAAAGACCTTTAAAATAAGGTATCACTCGACCCCCCTTTCCGTTTAAAATTTTAGGGTTGGTGACACCCCCGCCCAGGAGGTGTTAAGGTGATTTTTTGCCAAACTTGTGTCTGCCTCGAAAACAAAATCGACGGGTTTGAGCGTTTTTCTAAAAAAAAAACTGGGCTGCCAGTAAATGCGTCTGTTTCGTTTTCGATGCGCCACCCTGTATGTATATACATATATATAGAAGCACGTCTTGCAGATCAGCTTAAAATCGATGACAAAATATTTTTTTGAACAAAAATTTATCTAGATATCTTAAAAATGGCGGAGCTGTGAAGCGTCAAATTTGGACATTTCAATAATTATCTAAACAACTGATAATTGAAGTCATATGTTATATGATATAAAACTTCTTATTTTTAGAAGCTCTATCCAAATATGCAATAAAATATAGGTTATTCTATTTAAAAAAAAACACGTTTGCTGTGATACGAAGTTATGAAACACCTTCTATATAGTAAAATAATTTTGAATTACGCACTAGTAACTTATAAAACCATAAAACTACTTTCCATTTTTCTTGGGACGCCCTGTGTATATAGCTATACAAGGTGGCCCAACGAAAAGGTCGCACCCCTATTTGTGACTCCCTTGGTATATTTTGGGAAAAAACTCAGACAATTCTAATTTCTAGAGGGACGTCTTTTTATCTATAGCCGTACAATACAGGGTGATCCAAAAATAAGATATTGTGTTACACTTTAGATTTTTAAATGGAAACCTCAAAGATTTTTTTTAGAATCTATTCCTCAATGTTCAAACATGCCTTGAGCTATTATATTCCACAGTAATCCGCTGACGAAGATATTGGATCGAATCTGGCTTCGTACTAAAAACTTTACTTTTCAAATGCCCCCAAAGAAAGTAATCTAAAGGCCTTAGGATCCACTGATTCAGGAAACTGTTGTACTTAAGATACATAGTGCATGGTGTTGGAAATGAATGTAATTTTCATTATAATTATAATTAACGTCATTTTCTATTAATTTCGTAATTCGTGGCTCTATTGTATTCTCTAACATGTCCATCAAGTTTTCAGGAATAAAGGTAGGTCCTTCATTATGTGGATTTGAGTCGCTCCGACATCGACAATTATGTCTATTTACAGCTGCATGTAAATAGAACGTACACTCATGCTAGAAACAAATATTAAAAAACGGATTTGCATTGTTGGTTAAACTTTGGGACAGTAATTCTTGGTACTGTTGAGCTTGGAAATCCTGAAGAAGTAGCCAGTCCAGGAATGCTTTGGTTGTTGTCAAGTGCCACGTGTCTCTAAACGGTTACTTCTGCGGCTTCCTTTCTAAGTGGTCGGTTTTCTCGATGGCGATTACGGCGAATACTAGGCACAAATCAAGTTTCTCAAAAAATTTTTATTAACTTAGCCGTATTCTTATCATTAACATTTTTGTCTGGATGTAACGTAGACAACCGGGCAGTAGATTTTGCAATGCTTGTTATTTCTACCCTTTCTTGAATAGAATAGCTCATTGTTCAATATTTGTCACAATTAGGTAGGTAATTTAACAACTTGAAATAAAAGACAAAGTTTTTCTATGACATACAATGACACTGACTGTTGCTAAATGTTCTTGCTGGTATCCATCATTATTATTTTTTTATCACCCTGTATTGTAAGACAATAATAATAATAATAATAATAATAATAGCTTTATTGTCCAACAGTTTCCCATTTATAGGACAATTTATAAACATAATACAAAAGCAAAAAAAAAGCGAAAAGAAAACAACAAATGCAACACAGGTATAAATTTGTAACATGAGCTATTGGTCCGAATAAGCCTTAGCTGCCATTAGCAGGTAATTAACATTGGTCGTAAACATATCACAGTAACATCCAATTCTGTTTAAGTTAGAGCACATTACATATAACGGTGACTTGAGAAGAATGTTTGTCCTAGCTCTAGGAAGCCCGAATATTTTATGATTGCGAGATGCAAACGTTGAAGTACGAAACTTGATCTGTTCCAGGATCATGGGGCAATCAATTAAATTGTTGATCATTTTGTAGCCAAATATTATTGAGGCACAGTACCTACGTTTTTTCAAAGTCAACATGTCTAAGCGACTACATAGTTCCTCATTACTTGTACCTCTCTCTGGATATGTCCAATCAATCCTAAACAGAACAAACTTGATAAACTTCCGTTGTACTCTTTCAATAGCTGTGCTATAGCATTCATAGTAAGGGCTCCAAATAATACTACAATATTCGACTTTAGATCTAACATAAGCATAATATAATAGCTTAATAGACTTTTTGTTATGAAAATTCCTGCAATTCCTTACTATGAAACCATAAGCCGCCAATGCTTCTGATGCTTTTTTATTTATATGCTGACTAAAAGTTAACTTTTGATCATAGATTATACCTAAATCACGTACATCAGAGCATCTTTCTAGCACAGACCCATCAATAGAGTACGGATATTCGCAAACATTAATTTTCCTGGTATAGCTGACTATTTTACACTTCCTCACATTAAGCTCCAACTTGTTTTCTACACACCAAGACAGCACAAAATCTAATTGGTGTTGTAGCTTGATACAATCATCAGAAGTATTTATCTGCGAATAAATGTTTAGGTCGTCAGCAAAGCATAGGCGTTCACATTCAACCGAGTCACAGAGGTCATTAATAAATATCAAAAACAGTAATGGTCCCAGGTTGGACCCCTGAGGAACTCCAGAAGGTGCCAAGTAGGTCTCAGATTGGAAGCCATTATAGCTAACAAATTGTCTACGATCGGATAAGTAAGATTTCATCAACTCCCTAGCATCATCTGTGAAACCAAGTGCACCTAACTTTGTGGTTAATTTTATCGAAAGCCTTCGAAAAGTCGGTATAAATAACGTTAACTTGCTCATTACTATCAATGGCTTCCGAGAGGTACTGCGTTATTATAAATAGATTTGTGGTTGTTGAGCGATTAGCGACAAATCCGTGTTGATGCAATGACAGCTGACGCTGGACGGCAGTGTAAATGCGACTGTACAAGACTATTTCAAAGACTTTCGAGAACATGCATAATATAGAGATTGCCCTGTAATTCTCAATATTTGACTTATACCGACACTTAAACACTGGACTGACCTTAGCGATCTACCAAATATCTGGAAATCTTTTTGTTATAAGACAACACTGGACAACAAATTTTAGTTTTTTAATTGTATCTTGTGGGAAAAGTGCACTTCTTTGTTAATTTTGGGGCGCTGAATCCAAAAATGACAATGAAATAAAAAAATTAGTTGCGGTTTAGAAAAAAAAACTTTTTATTTTTAAGGATATATTAAAAAAAGTAACAAGATTCATATACTTATAAGAATCATTATAAGCGCGGTCTTTTTGCTGTTCTTTTATGGATCGTTTCTGGAGCATCTCTACCAAGAGTCCAACAGTAGTCTGCAAGCATGGAAGGATTCCACTTTCCCTGGTACCTTTTTTCCATTGTTGAAATATCCTGATGAAAACGTTCGCCGTGCTCATCACTTACGGCTCCGCAATTGTCAGGAAAAAAGTCCAGGTGTGAGTGTAGGAAATGTATCTTAAGAGACATATTACAGCCCATCTTTTGATACGATGACAGCATATTTTTGACAAGGGTTTTATAGTTGTCAGCTTTTCTATTTCCCAAGAAATTAGTGACCACCAGACGGAAATCATTCTAAGCAGTTTTTTCAACACCTGTTAAAGTGTTTTCAAACTGTGTATCTTTCAAAATATTTCGAATCTGTGGCCCAACAAAAATATCTTCTTTAACCTTTGCCTCACTTAGTCTTGGAAATTTGTGACGCAGGTATTGAAAAGCTGACCCATCTCTATCTAATGCCTTGACAAAGTTTTTCATTAGGCCCAACTTGATATGCAGTGGTGGTAATAAAATTTTTTTCGAATCTACTAATGGCATATGCTGTACATTTTTTTGACCTGGCTCTAGGAATTGACGAACAGGCCAGTTTTGTCTGGTGTAATGAAGTGCCTTTGCCCGACTGTCCCATTCACACAAAAAACAGCAAAACTTTGTGTAGCCTAGCTGCAGCAAAAGTAAAAGTGCAACAACTTTCAAATCGCCACAAATATGCCATTGGTGCTCAGCGTATTTTATGCATGTCAATAGGTACTTCATATTGTCATATGATTCTTTCATGTGAACTGCATACCCTGCAGGAAGAGATGGTAAAATATTTCCAATATGCAATAACACTGCCTTTAAACTAAATGTTGAACTGTCTATAAACAATCTCCATTCTTCTGGGTTATAGTTTATATTTAAAGCCACCAGTAAGCCGTTAATGTTACTGCAGAAAACCAAGTTATTCTCCATATTGAAAAATGGTTCTAAGTCTTTGTGGCGTTTACGAAAAACACAAACCGAAACATCGTCTTCTAACAAGTTCCACTGCTGCAGTCTTGATCCAAGTAACTCTGCCTTAGATTTTGGAAGTTCTAAATCTCTTACAAGATCATTTAATTCTGACTGTGTTATTTTGTGCGGTTGGTGGCATGACGTGCTCGGTATAAAATCAGGATCTCTTGACGTTGATGGCATATCTTCTTCCTGACGAATCACTCGATCGCCACGATCTGATTCGTTTTCTGATTCGCAAGTGTAGGATTCTGGGGGTTTTGGAATAGGATTTTCGTCACTGTGAGGCACAGGTCTCATCGCAGATGGTATGTTTGGGTAGTTAATAACCGATTTTTTTTTTGGACATACCTGTGGCTTGTCCAACACAAGGTACCATGCAAAAGTAACAATCATTAATATGATTTGTAGGCTCTCTCCAAACCATTGGGACAGCAAAGCGCATAGACCGTTTTTTGCCATTTAACCAGCTCCTCAGACTTTAAGCACATGTATTACAGCAGATGTGGGGTGCCAACTGTTTGTCTTGATCACCTAGTTTACAACCGAAATAAAGCTGATATGCCTTTGTTATTAGTGGAGTAATAGACCGTCTCTGAGACGCAAAAGTCACATCACCACACACGTAACAAGACTGATCTGGATTGTTTACACACTTTCGAGACATCTTGCATGAACGCTGTCAGCCAACTGAGGAAAAAATGGCTAATATAAAACAATATAATGTACACGTATGTATAACGTAACACAATCATGCCGATTACATCATCTTTCCTTGCCGAATATAAAAATGTAGCACGTGCATTCTTGTGAATGACAGTATATTAACACTGTCACAGCAGGAACACGTATAATTACCGTATCTCTAAAACTTGAACTAATATTGAAAAAATAAGTTTCATTCCGGTTTTAGCACATTAAAAATAGTAATATTTTGTTGATTTTATTTAGGATATTTTTTGGCTGTTGATCAGTGATAATTAAAAATGTCCAAAAAATTATGGATAATGCGTGTCTTAGGGTCTAGAAGATTGCCATTTACAAGTTGAGGCACATTAAAATCTCCTAGAAACAGGGAATTACAGTCGTGCAAATAATCCAGTTGCTCAACAGCATCAAAGAACGATTCAAATTCATCAACAGAAATTTTGTCAGGAATGTAAACAACAGCCACAAAAAATGTCCTATATGCCACATGGCATCTCACTATTAAAAGATCAATTGATGGAAATTGTGCATCAAATACAGTAACATCTATAACCTCAGATTTAATGCATTCCTTCCTTCCAATAGGTGGAAAGACGTTCTCAAAATTGGCGTGTCCGAGCGGTTTTCACAAAATAAACCAGGAGAGCCCCAAATGGAGGCGCGGCCTATTCGTTGGGCCACCCCGATTAAACTCTAAGTAGAAACCTAAAAACGGTCTGGTTATTTGCAGGTATCGACGATGCCACGACGATTTTGAGAGGAACTCTGCGCTATTCAGGCTTCTCCCAAGCGGCTAGAGAGCTTCAAAGCGTCGGTTTGATCGACACCCAAGAACACCCAGCTTTACATTCGCAGGGACCCGACATTACATGGAGACATCTCATCTGTGACTTGCTAGGTCTCGAGGATGACACGATCCTGTTAGGAAACCTAAGGAGCAAGATCGTGGAAAGAACGGGTTCCGAATTCTCGGTAGAACTGTTAGAAGAGCTTGGTCTACTGGACGATAAGCTGGTCGTTAAGAAAGGGACGCCTCTGGATACACTCACACATTATTTGACTTCCAAATTGTCTTTAGGTGAGAAACGTAGCCCTAATTTAATTCAGACGGATGACTATTAATTTTTGCAAAAATAGCAACTACCTCTCCTTTGTGGCGCCCATGTATGTAACTTCATCGGTCTAAACGTCTATACCCGTTTTGCAGCAACAATTTCTTCACGAATTTATTCAGATGGATTTCTTCTGTTAGATAGATACGACTCAAAAAATTGCAAATCAGAACGATCTAAGCCACAATTTGTAAGTGTGTTTAAGCATGTTTCAACCTGTCAAAGACTTCTCAAAAATTGGTATACAGGGTGTTCCTTAATGGTATGCGAATATTTGAGGGTGTGAATCTACATAAAAAATTAATGTTAGTTTGCTTTATAAACTATGGTCCAAAAATGTTTCCTTACAAAAACTCGGGGTATTGAAGTTTTAGGAAAAAATGGAAATTAATTAATAATTTCAGAACCGCTTTAGATATTCCACTGTTATTTAGCACGTAGTGAAAGTTAAGAATTCTGTATATTTTTCAATGAAAAAATAATTTTTAGCTTTAACAGTGGCGTGCGTACGGGTAATGACTTCGATATTTTTCAAGAAAAAAATGGTACGCCAATGGTTTTTTGCCAAATAAGAATTAATTTAAAAATTAGCTTCGTCCGTGAACAGAATCACTGATTCAAATTGCGGATTTTGTGTAATTTTTTGAAGATACCACTGAAAAAAGGTCACACGCCTTGGAAAATCATTGGGAAGTAATGCCTGTACTCTTAAAATATGGTAAGGATATAACAAAAAATCTACTAAAATTCTCCAAACAATTTGATAGCAAATATTTAAGTGTCTAGCGATCTTCCTCGTACTCGTTTCAGGATGTTCTTCGACTTCGTGCAGCACTGCTTCCTCAATTTCACTTAGAGGTCTACCTTCAGATGTTCCTCTTCGGACAGAACCAGTTTTAACAAGACGACGATGAATATTAGATAAGGTTCAACTATCTGGCAAAGCACGATCGGGATATCTCTGGTGATAAATCCGTCTGGCTTGCTCACCATTACCGTCGGCAAGGCCATATACGTAATGCATTTCCGCCATTTCTGCATTTGAATAATTCACCATTATTAACAAGATTGTAAAATCTAAATAATGAAAAAAATGTCACAGCGAACAGATTTGAAGACTTGTCAGATGTCCAAAGCCAGTGACATATTCCTGAGCAACTAGATATTTATTGCTAAATTGCATTCTTTTGTCGGACAATAGAACGGTTTGTTTATTGACGTATCCATGTAAATGAAAATGTGCTTCATCACTCATAAACAGAGTCGTCATTGTTATCCAACTGTTCAATCATGAGCTGCGCAGAATTAACACGTTGTGCATAATCCCCTGGCAACAGTTGTTAACAAACTTGGATTTTGTAAGGTTGGAACACTAAATCCTTCTTCGAGATGCGACGTACAGAGGACGCGAGGATCCCAGGGAACTGGCACGCAAGCGGACGGAACGATTCAGGCTTTGCAGCGTGTCAACTCTCACTCTGTCTACGTTTTCGGGGGGTCTAACAGTACGGTTTCGCTCTGGCGGTTTTTTCTTCATCACATTACCTGTTGTGTTGAATGCTTCCACCCTTCTCAAAATGGTGTTACGGTCCGGTGGAACACGAAAGTGAACGCGAAACTCAAGTTGCGTTCAAACGACAGACTCGCCATTTTGAAAGTACCGACGTACAGTGAACACACGATGCTCAACGTTCCAAACTATCTTGCCAACTGAAACGGCACTTCTCCCTCTATCCAACACGCCCTTCCCCACCGACACGGGTGCAGCCCGCTCGATGTAGTACCCTTTCGAAAAACATGCGTTCTTTCTGACGGACCCTGTACAACATCTACTTGGCTACATCTATCAACACAATCTGATACATATTGTGTAAATTGCAACACATTTGTTGTAGTTGATTTTTTTTCCACAAAGCCATGCTGTGGAGGGTGAAATGAGATCACGTACGAAATTATTTTAATTTAAAATTGAATTATTAATGATTATTCGACAGTGAATGACTATTTCCAGAACCTTAGTACAGTTACATAACAACTTAGAACTAGTAAATTCAAGCCATATGGTGTATGATGTAAATGCTGGGCAACCTATAATTGTAGATTTAACAAGTGATTTCTCAATTTTACTTTAAATGTTGTCAAAGTTTTCTGGTCTTTTATCTCTGATTATAATTTATTATATTCAATCAACCCTTGATGGAATACAGATTTGTAGCATATGTTATACTTTTCGGTCATTAAATTTAAGTCATCTTTATTTCTGGTATTATTTAAATGATGGTCGACATTTGATGATGTTAAATTAGTTAGACTTGATGGAAATATATTATTTTTTACTTTATAAATGAATATCATTACAAGATATTTGATAAAAATTTATACATTGAGCCATTTTAATTTGCTAAGCATTTGCCTAATTGGAGTATATTTATCTTTATTCAGTATTATTCTCATGAACTTATTTTGTAAAATTTGCAGTCTTTCAAAAATGGAATTATTTGCTAAATATAAAATAGTCGAACAGTACAAGAAATTTGGAAGAATGATGGTATTATAGATAATTTTTCTGCTATATGAACTCAGACATCCTGAAACTCTCGATAAATATCCAACTTTACTACTAATCTTATTTATAACTTTAACATAATGAATATCAAAAATTAATCGAGAGTCAACAAAAACCCCCAGATATTTAAAATTTTCTACGAATTCAATATCTTCACCACCAATATTCAGTTGAACATTTGTACATTGTTTTTTTCCGATTAACAAGGCTTTCGTTTTACTTGTATTTAATTTTAGTCTGTTAGATGCTAACCATTTTGAGACAAGTTTCAAGTCTTCATTTATATAAGAGATACCAGTCTGAATATTTTTAGTACTTATATAAATCATAGTGTCATCGGCGAAAATCTGAATTTTGCATTTTTTAACTATGGCAAGTAAATCATTTATGTATAGAATAAAAAGAAGTGGTCCCAGGATACTGCCCTGTGGAACACACAACCTATTTTCAATTTTTGATGAAATAGTGTCATTAACTTTTGTAACTTGCATCCTTTTAGACAAATAATTTCTAAACCAATCTAAAACACTTCCTGTTATACCATATGCTTCAATTTACCTAACAAAATATCTCTATCAATCGTTTCAAATGCCCTCTTCAAATCCAAAAATACTGCTATGACGACTTCTTCTGAGTCTATGGCTCTTCTCCAATTCTCAGTTACCAACTGGAAAGCCGTTTCTGTGGAATATTTTTTCGAAAGCCTGCTTGCGCCTCCACTAAAATTTTGTTTTCTTCTATAAACTGCATTAATTGGTCATGCACTATGGACTCTACTAATTTTTCAATGTCTGGTAACACATTTACTGGTCTCATATCGCTGCATCTTTTAGAATTTTTTATTTTGGGAACTGGTGTTATTGTAGAGCATTTCAAATTTTCAGGAAAAGAACTGCTTCTCAGTGAACAATTGATCCAATTTAATTCTGGATATCACAAACTTTCGAAACAGTTTTTCAGCACGTTTTTAGTAGTGATTTCGGCACAGTTGTTATTTGATTTTAAACTGTTTACTTTTTTTCTTAGATAATTCAATGATACGCTGTGAAATTTAGAAAGTGTATGCAACATTTTATGGTGTATGAGAATGATTCCCAGATTTGAAAATGGGGCACACTCTTGCAGTTTTCCGCGCATCTCGAAATTTACAATTGGATAACATGCATGGACAATACTTGAATACTGTCTTGAATAAAGAAAGACGGTAACTTATCTAGACCAGTAGCTAGTTTATTTTTAGGCTTTTTAGATGCAAATATAGTTTCTTTTTCAGATTTGAAATGAGTTTATCCCATAATGGTTATCCACAGAATCATCATTTTCACTACAATATGATGGTAGTACGCATTTGTAATGATGATTGGAGTTTACTAATTTTTTTTTCTTCTTTCAGAAAAAGATGAGCGAGACTTGGTGATTTTGAGGCATGACATAGGGATCTTGTGGCCAGATAATAAAAAAGAAAACAAAGGAATCAATCTGGTTGTATATGGAGACATAAACGGTCATTCTGCAATGGCCAAGACGGTTGGGTATCCAGCAGCTATTGCGACTAAAATGATTTTAGATGGTGAGTACAATGAAATTCGGAAAAGAAAGAATTATGAAATCCTCCAAAAGAATTGATGATATAAACTTTGCTGACTCCGCTTCAAAACAGCAAATTGTTGAGTTTGGGTTAAGTAAGCCTACAGGTTTTCGAACAAAAAATCACACGTCAATAATTAACTAAAATAATGGAAAGATCAAAGTAGTAAATAATATTGGTATATCACAAACAATAGGTTATGCTCAAATTTTTTGGAACCCTCTTGTTAATACATACTAGTTTAAAAAACTAAAAAAAAACACTGTGCCTTTTTTTCAGATGAAATTCAAGAGAGAGGATGCATCCTGCCGTTTGCTCCTGAAATATACCGACCAATTTTACAAAGACTGAGGACCGAAGGCATCTCACATCATGAAACTTCTAAATTTTATTAAACCGTGACTGTATCTACATAAATAATGTATTTTTGCACCCATATCTTCATTTGAAAATACATCTAGTTCTTTTCACGGTCTTCGGCGGTTACGCTACACTGCCATACGAAATAAGTAAACAGATTGACTCATGGTACAATGTGCACAGCTTGACTTTCCTAAGAAAAATTGAACACTACGGAAGCTGATATCTATCGTAGCTGCTACTCGCTCTTGCACGGACACATGGATTGGGCGATGGAGGGTCGTTATTTTCACCAGAGCCCGCTTCAGAGTCTTGTGCGCCCTGACGCAAAGATAGATAGACAGAGAGGTAGATAGATATCCTCCATTTTTTTAAGAATATAATCATTCTTAACGTCAATGCTAACTTAAAACTAAACAAGATTATACGGGATGTTAGGGAAATAATATTCGTAACTTTAAGAGGTTATTCCTTGCATTATTCTAAGCAAAAAAGTTCGTTTTAACTTATGTCCGAAAATCAATCGTTTTCGAGGAAAGTGAGTCGTAATTGATTAAATTTTCTCAATCATTTGGCAACGCTGCAATGCAACCGCGATTCAACTGATTCAACGAATTGTTTACGTTTGTATGATATTTTTGTTGAAAATATGCCTTGAATTATTGAATACTTTTACGCATTTTTTTGTGGCTAATATTTTTTATTCAATAACGCTTTGAGTAAAGTAGTACATTTACTTAAAAAAATTACACAACTTACTGGTACGTGGCGATACACACCACCAATTCCCACGATTATCAGTCACTTATTTGAAACGATGCGATGCACGAAAAAAGAAAAAACATCATCCGTAAATCTCATAAAGTTACCGTTAGATGTATTAGTAATCACAACAACACGCGATGATACGTGCAGTGCAGGCGAAGTACGGCGTTGCCAGTTGTATGAGGAATTTTGTTTGTCTGTTTTTCTTCGGAAAATTGTATTTAATAAGCAAGAAAATTATTTTGTTAGAGACAGTTAATCAATAAATGGATGTATTGATACATTTTCCGCTATTAGGCATATGAATTTAAATGATTAAGTTGCAAAAAGAAATAAATTCAGCATTTTTTTGCTCCGAAACGGTTGATTTTCAAGTTGACCCGTCTAAAATCTTGAAAAGGCCTACTGAAGAGCACCAACAATTTTCGTATTTTCTCTAGTTGGTTTAAATGTAATTTCATATAACTTAGAGGGGTAAATTTGTTGTTAACTCAATTAGAATAAGCTATCTATCTGTAAGTTACATTAAGTTACAATTGAATCGAGTGATTGTAATTTCAAGGTGATCCGCCAAAAATCGTGAAACAACCTATATTTAGATTATAATGTTTGTAAATAATGTGTTATTTTGTTGTTATGTGCTGTAAATGTTTGGATGTGACATAAAGTGGAATATATAATATTATTACAAGCTTAAGTTAGCGACTGAAGAATAACTATCCCAATATACCTACCTCCGTTATCGTTATGTTAATTTATATTTCTCTTTTTTTACCCAGGAAACTAAACATGAATTTTATTTTGACGGAATATCCGAAGTCTATCATTTTTTTGTAAGGGGTCGTTCAAGCATCACGCAAATTTCTTACAAGTATTTACCCTCTTCCTTTGTCAACAAAAGTAAGCAAATCTCTTAGCCCCTCTCCCATGCTTACTTAAGCATTTTGGTACATTGATTGAAGCAAGTAATGGCTTTCACGCACATGTTCTGAATACCATCATTTAAAGTCAGTTTCCATTGAACTCCATTCCTATGCTAATGGCAAACTCGGAATTGGATTTTTCTAATTGTTCTGTAGCGTTTTTCTGGGTTTTTTTGGGTATGGATTAAAAGACTAGATTGCACAAAAAGAAATGCACTAATTCATTTATCTTGCCTAGATAGAACATTTATGTATACTTTATCTGAAGTCCCTTGAAATAGCATAAAAACCTTTGGTCGGCGCGTCCTTTGTCTCAGACTAAAAATATAAATAGACTTACCATTCTTACGGCACTGTAATGCATGAAGACAAACAAACCCAATTCAAAACAAATACAAACAATAAGCTGTGTATGTGCAGACCACAGCTGATTCCACCAGCGGCGTAGGTGCTTTTTTTGTAATGGTGTTCTGGTTAATACACCCAGTATCACCTTCCATGGCAGTGAAAAGAATAAACACAGAGAAGTAAACAAGGTTTTATTATTGGAACTTAATTATCAGGTTTATTGTTTCATAATACCTAGTACAAAGGTATATAAACAAGAGAGAGAGTATTATGTAAATAATAAGAATTGAGTAGAAACTTTCCTGTCCAGAGTATGAATACAAAAAAAAAATAGTAACCATGATCAAAAGTTGTATATAAAAAAATATATAAACAAACAGAAAAAGAATAAATAATTGACGCATCAATTTAAATATTCTGTCTTGATATTGTAAGCACAAAAAAACTATTCATTCCTTAAGAAAGATCTTAGCTTAAATAATTTCCTAAAGTATTTAAAAAGTTTGTATCATAAATTCAACTCATTCGTTTTATTTAAGCAAGCAAAGACACAGATTTGGTTCAAACGATCTGACAGAATATGCTCTCTCAATGGATTGTATAATGGACATTCCAGGAGGAGATGTCCTAAAGATTCGGTCTTTCTAGTATTACATATTGTTTGGTCAACCCTGTATGAAATATTGTTTAGGAAGATTTTGAGACTATTTATTGTGGAGCTTAAGTTGGATTATAAATCGTTTTATACATAACGGTATACTTGGGGATTTAGTGTACTCTGTAGACTCTGATAGCCATTTTAGCCATTTAGCGCGTCAAAAACTTCTTGTATTGATATATGCTGAACCAGACATGGATGTAAAACATCTAAAAAGCTAAAGTCAACATTGGGGGTAGGTTTATACATTATTTTATAGTAGTCAATCCATGTTTGGAGATTTAGTGCATATTTCAGTAAAACAATTCCTTTGGACTTGTCACTCTCCCTAAGTCATTATTTATAATTCATTTTATAATTTTGCTTTTTATTTTTTTGTAATTATCAGGTTTTATTGATTTTGAAATAATATACTTTTTGTGAGTAATGATCGTACACGTTTTGAAGGGGCATTCAAGTTAGAGGTATAATGGTACAACTTAATGGTAAAATATTGTTCTAAAACTTGTTTACAGAGCAATGGAAAATGATTACTTAAAGGTTCATCTTCGAATACATGGTCCTTAAACACATTTCTGAATCCAAGAGGTAAATTTTGCAATGTATAATTTGGTAATATTTGTGAAGCTCTTGTCATATTTTTTTTGCCAACTTCTAACCTTTCCTTTTATCACCTAAAGCAATGTTCTTCATATTTACACACATTTATTACAAAAGCGGAGGCTTTAACTAATTTTCCATACGTTTTTCTTATTTGTAATTTCGATATAGACTCTCCTGAAGTTTCTAACAAATCTAAACAACTCTGGCATTTTATAGACTTGTTTAGCCTCTTCACAACAAAACCTGCAACATATGCAACAACATCTTCCAAATACAGTTTAAGCTACCAAGGACTTATTCGAAGAAAGTTTTTCAATTGTATAAAATCTTCATCTTCCTCTATACTGTTTGATGATGAGGTCATATCCTCACTAATTTTGATCTCTAAAGATGATGATGAACAGTGCAAAATGGATGTACTATCTAATGCCACGACATTGGATGCTTCATTGCCAGTTATTTCAGTATGAAGTAATAATTTTTTTAAAATATTCTGAATCTGCTTCGAGGTAGGACTATTGCTGTATCCTCCTTTGCTCTTATACAACTGAAGAAAATTTCCAAATGATCTTGAGATACCTAACTTATATGTGAGAAGGTACTTCAGCTCTTTGGTTTCTTTGACTCTATATTCATACAGACTGTTTATTGAAATTATGAATCCCAAAAATCCTAATTTTCTTCTAGAAAGTATAACTCTAGTGTCTCCTAATTTTAACGATTTCAAATAATCCTTCGCTTCTTCTAAGAAATTGAAATATTGTTCAGTAGCAGGTGACAACGGTTTCTCATAAGGTTTTTTTGACATCCTATTCCTTCAATTAAAAACATAAAATAAAGTCAGCCATAGCCAGATCTTTGTTCAAAAAGTCCAATGCTTCTGCAACACTCTTGCTCAAAGTCTGGACGCCAAGTTTAACTTTCATCTTTTCATTCACCCATTGGAGATTCTTCTTGTTTTTTCTTATCACTAGGAAACCTGAAAGATCAAAAACGTGTCTAACAGAAGAGTATTTTTTGAAAATCACCACACATACAGTGTAAAAACAACCAATAACTATAAAATGTCTATTTCTTAATACTAAAAATCACAACGCATCCCCATGCGCTACGCCCTTGTCCTCCTCTAACCTCTAACTCACCTGTGGAAGGTTGCCTCAGTTTTTTCACTGCTAACTCCACAAAGAATGCACTTCCGACGTCCCATTGTCTTTGAAAATTGTCTATCAATGATAACAATGCTATAATTGCCGCTAAAACAACCTGAAAACATTTTTGAATACTCGCAACAAATTCACTGTGCACAACAACAAACACCAGATGTTTGTAAATTCTGTGTACGCATCCACCACTTGCCGTTGAACACCGTTGCCACGTTCGGCAAAAAGTCGGTAGAAATGTGCTACTTTCGAATGAGAGCAAGTTTCGTCCAAGGTGGAACAAATTCAGTCAAACAACTGACTGGGCAAAATATTATATGTAATGTTCGCTATGAATTACCCAACATGAACCTGCATCCGTTTTGAATTGAATTTATGGCGTGTCGGCCACCTCTGTGACCGTTTTTGCGAGTATAAACAAACACGAAAAGAAAAAATAAATTTTTAAAATTTAAAATGACGTTGACAACTGCCTAGGAGCAGGTGTTTGATCGACCCACGATCGACCGGAGCGTCCACACCTTATTTAAGTCCACCTTCATTTCGCGCGGAGTGCACACCAATATCTCATTCCATTTTCAATAGATTTTTCAGTCTGGAGAAGTGGCAGCGTCGCATATATTTGTTTACCGTAAATACAGTTATGTTGACGACGATATTTTGTAGGGAATTATTTGTCTATTTATATTTTTAGTCTGAGTCCTTTGTAATTTCATGACGTATCATAGGCGTGCGGTCATTTATTTAGAACGATAATAATAATGTTTTTATATCACAATAAATGGATTTTACTATCTTCTTATTTTTTTGATTTGGGATAAAAAATACTTATATTGGGAGTTTAATTTATGTTGACTGAAAGTTACGAAATGGAAAAATTACAGAATTCCAACGTTTGACATAGGCAAATATTTACATAGCAGGTAGGTATATAAAAAGGTATATAAAGACTTACATTATAGGTATTTATATATCATCCTCGCCTTCGGAGCTGTCGCTAGAGTCATCTTGTAGAGGAATTACAACGGGATTTACAGGAGGCAAAACACAATATTCATTTTCTTTTTCAATAATATGCCTAGAACACTGCTTCCATAGGTCTGTGGCAGCAATATGAGATACTGCATCTCTTATTGTTGCCAATAGCGATTCACTTAATTGAGGGGTCTGATTATGTTTTCTTACTTTTTTTTTAAAGCAGCCCAGACCAACTCAATCGGGTTAAAAATGCAGTAATAGGGAGGTAGACGTAATACTTCATGGCCATTTTGCTGAAGCAGATTGTCAACAACATACCCTTTTTCAAATTTTTGTCTTTTAATAAGATCCAATAATATGGCTTTGGTTGATTTTTGTTGTATTTCCATTCCCTTATCCTTCATAAAATCAATAATGTCTTGTTTTTTTGTGCCTGTATTCGGAATTTTGTTTTTCTGTCGGGAATGGTATGGCGCATTGTCCATAATAATCACTGAATTTGGGGAAATGTTTGGTATTAACTGCTGCTCTATCCACTTTTCAAATAAGTCGGAGGTCATGTCCTCATGATAGTCGGCACATGATTCTTTGATATTTTTGGCAGATAACAGCAAGGCATTAGGTATAAATCCATTTTCACTGCCAGCATGGAGAATAATGATTCGTTTTCCACGGTTGCATGGTGCAGTTAAAATGCACTTGTTGCTGTCGTCAACCCAACCGTACTGCACAACATCATGGGTATCATACCACGTTTCATCCAGGTAAATCAGATTTCTTTTCTGCTCTCTATAGATTTTAACTGTGTGCAAAAATTCTTGGCGCAATTCAACGATTCGAGACGACTCCATAATCACCATTCTTTTATCTATTTTTTTGCATTGAAAACCACACAGTTTTACAATATAGTGCAGTGTGTCTAAGCATTTGTAATTATAAAAATCTTCAGGATAATCTTTTAATTTATCCCGTATCATTTCCAACGTGGGCACCAAATTTTCTTTATAAAATCCGTATATTATACGACGAATATCTTCCTGAAAACCCACGTCTATTCTTTTTAATTTTTGCCCTATGCGATTTCTGTGGAAGGAATGGTTGACTACATCTCCCCTTTTTATAACCCGATAAATGGTAGACCGACTGATTTTTGTCAGGATACAAATTCTGTTTTTTAATTTGATTTTGCGAGGAATCTGGATTTTCGTTTTTCAGACAATCATACATATTTAGGATTACTCTTTGGGTCTGTTCCTCTAAATCTTTATGAAAGAATTCTGCCTGCACAGGTTCATCAACCATCTCCTCGTGGCTTGGAGCATTTTCCCAAGGTCTCCAAAGAGCCATATTTAGGACACACAAGAACAATCAACACAACAATTAAATCAACAAGTAAACTGAGTATTCAAAAGTCAAAAACACACAAACTAATAAAATCTATGAAAAAACACGGACAGACTAAAGAAAACACGTTTATTCACCGCTGCACGGCACTGGCTAAACTGTTTCAATTTTCAGTAGCCACCTGCACTTGTTCGGAACTCTGAAATACACGCTTTCTCATTGGCTATGTCCACGCATAGGCGTGCTTTACTCCACGTGGACCGGTGAAACTGCCTTTGATCTTATACGGGGGATATTTGCTGCGAAATTTGGCGATTTTTGCAGCAACAGAGCGTGTTAAATATAGATATATAAAACGCACCCGGTATTTCACAGTGTTTCAAGTGACTTCAGATAATGTATAAGCATATCCATATTTGGGGAATCCCTAAGGTGCGCTTCGATTTTGAGCATAGACAAGGATTTGTTATATAAATGTTATCATCGATACCACAACACAACTATTTTGACTACCACACAAATATGACAGGTACATCACGAAAAAAACATGACAATCATTTCCGTTGGTTTGTATGTCGGCCTGTCTGTCCATTAATCCTTGACCCCTCTATAACTTGGAAAGTACCGCTACGATCTTGCGCAATGTTACTATTTTCCCAAGGATGGAAAACCTTTGTAGTTTTCTAAATCCATCCAGTGGCGGCGGAGGAAAACGCCAGAAACAAAAAAACAACAACCCCCAAACTCCTGATCTTGATCATTTTTGAAAAAATTCTTACGAGTTAAAAAAATTGGGGGTGGAGGTAGGTGAAGGGCTGGGGTGGTTATATCTCAATTTTTTAGTGTAAGTGTATTCATACGCTGTCAACCTTGGTAATTCTACGCACCTATTTGACAGATTTCACACATCATAGGTTTCTCTATACAGGGTGTAAACGTTATGGTAGTCATTATTGAAATGGGTAATAGGGGGGTCAAGACAAGTCAAAAAGTTCATATGACCCATGGTCCAAAAGTCAATATATTTTTGTCTTAATGACTTTATAGTTTACAGCTTTAAGTGCTTTATATCGACCACAATCTTACTAATTTTTATAATCTAATCTAAAACGTTTTTAAATTGTGTAATTAACAAATAAATGGCATGAAGTTTTTCTATGTTAAGCCAAAATTTGTAGTCAGTAAGTAAGTAAGTTTCATTAAATTAAATATTTAAAACACACATGACAACAGCGCGTCGGTCTTTCATCACTCTTATCGAACCTGCAATCGATCGCAAACGGTGACAGTGGTTAGTTATCGCTTTGCATAAACAAATTACTTAATCATTTTGTCGAGCAGAGCATCGGGTGTGTTGTTTTGTTTTTGTTCGCGTACGTCGTCGTGTTTATTTACAATGTTCTCGAATCAAGAGTTCGCCGACATGTTGCTAGTTTACGGTAAAGCTCGTCAGAATTCAAATCTTGCCGCTCAAATTTTTCACGACAGATTTCGCCAACGGATAAAGCCAGACAGAAGGACATTTGTGCAAGTGTACCAAAGACTTCGAGATACAGCAAGTGTTCAGCCCACTAATATTCGCACTCGTTAAAGACTGGTCACTGTAGAGCAGGAGGGATAAATTTTTGAATATCGTGGAAATCAATGCAGATATCAACACTCGGGAATTAGGCCGACGCGTAGGACTATCGCATACCACAGTCCATAGAATCCTACGGGAAAATTTGCTTTATCCCTACCATGTACAACGAGTTCAGGCCTTGTTACCAGAAGACTATCCTCGCAGACTAACATTCTGTCAGTGGTTTTTGCTCAAAAACATTGAAAATCCGGACGAATGTACTTTTACGCGAGACGGGATATTAAATTTCCATAATACTCACACGTCGGCCCAAGAAAATCCTCATACCATTCGTAAAGGTCGTAATGAAGCTTGTGTGGGAAGTGGAGGACGACATTTTGAACACCTTCTTTCAATACAAAAAAGTGCAGTGTGGGCTTTAAAATGAAAAACAATGTATGTATCAAAATTGTGTTCCCTATTTATACGTTCAATAAACTTTTACACACCAGGTGAAGCGCTGAGACATTTAGTAGTAAGTAAGTTTTTTAAATTGTTTGCATTTTACGAGCTCACTATCAAATAATGAAATAATACCTAAGAGCCAGAAATATCAAACTCCATCTTTATTTACACTGCGTTCCGTCGTAATTTGCGTCTGGCATTGCGGCGTTGTCAGATTTTATTTTATTTTAAAGTCGCTTTTCTCTAAAAAAAAATGCCGTTTCGACCCCGATGTTATATGAAACTCTGTATCACCCATTTAAATAATGACTATCATAACGTTTACACCCTGTATTTGAAAACTGCCATTTAAGATAGCTATTCAGGTCGTCATTAATAAGATTCGTTAAAGCAGTTCTGTCTGTTCCAGTATATACCACTACAATGTCATCTGCAAAGGTAAAAGATCTTGCCCTTGGATTCGCCAGCTTGAGATTCAGTGCGTAAAGACTGTATAACAGAGGTCCAAGAACTGACCCCTGTGGTATCCTGTAGTTATTAGATAACGATTCATTCATTCTAAATCGCATTTTAAACAATTTATCCAATATAATGTCTATGCTTACTACGTCAAAAGCTTTTTAGGATAATGAAAACAGCTACAACTATTTCTTGCTTATCTAGAGCCATTGAAATCTAATCCACAAAATCAACAACAGCACTAAGTGTGCTACTGTTCGTTATATAAACCATTTTGAAATTCATCAATCAATAGACTGCAAGTATCAATAAAAGATAACATTCTTTTTTTTATTAATTTCTCTATGATCTTAGAAAATACACTTACAACTGAAATAGGCCTGTAATTGTTCATACATCTTTCATCACCCGACTTAAAAAGTTGTGTTATTTTACTTATTTTCAATTCTGATGAAAAGATCCCTTTTTGTATAGTTTCATTAATTAATCGTACTAAAACAGGTATTATGTATTATCCAAGATTATTTACATCCCTAACCGTGATACCGTCATTTCCGGGTGCTGAGTTTATTCTTAGTTCTTTCACAACTTCCAACAACTCTTCTTTATTAGTCAATGTTATCAAAATAGAATCATCATTGTGACCCTCAGCAACATAAACAAACTCAATCAATTGCTGAATCTCCGATTCTTTAATCAAATTAATTAATTCTTGACAAGTTGTGACATTTATGCTTAAAATTTTTTGTCTATATAAATTTCGTCAAGACAGGTATTAATAAAAACATTTTTATATTTTGAAAACTCTACATTCCCAGACCCATTTTTATAAAACTTTTTTGCATATTTTTTAACAAGGAATCTCCCTCTAAGGGCCGTATCGTCAGTCGTTCCTTCAATTTAGGATGCCGTTATAGCCTCCGTGATTTTCATGGTTTTCTACTGTTCCGTGTCAGCACTTTATTTTGAGGTTATGTTACAAATATCCATTTGCTTCAAATTCTTCAAGATTTTGATTCATATCAACCAAAACATAGCCTCACAATAAGAGAGCGCTAACGCTGACACGGAATAGTAGAACTCTAGAAATATCCCAGCCTTTCTGAAGGATAGAAGAGACCATGAAAATCAAGTAGGCCATAAAGGCGTCCTACAATTGTAGGAACGACTGACGATACGGCCCTAAAATATCTCCGCCTGTTTTTTCACCCTGTATATATCGTGGATTAAATATCGATCTATCGAATATATTTTTGTTGACATGTTGACCCATCTCTACCATCTGATTGACTGACGTGACTGACAAGCTGACAATGGCCAAGTCATCAGTCACTAGCGAACCGTCTTGGTTTTTTAATCCCATTTTTATCCTAAAAACCCAATTAAACAGAATTCTGGAATTTGGAGAACGGCAGTGGTAGTAATGTCCTATACTTCGTGAGAGCATTTTCGATATTTATGTAGCAAAACTTCATAAACAGGGTTATTGTATTTTTTATTTTGGATAGTGAAAACATATTGAAGACATGGAAAACCTCTTCAGCATGTGGAAAGTGCGAGAACTCGCAGATAAAGTGTAAGTACTCCTCATTCAATCGGAATTCCGGACACCAGTTGTCACCACCCACTATCGAAAGTGTAGGCACACTCTGTAAATGCGTTATCATGTTTTCAGTACAAATGTTGTAATGAACTACACAGAGATTGAGGCAAAGGTACGAGAAGCTACCAATGACGAACCTTGGGGCCCTACTGGTCAAATCATGCAGGACCTTGCTCATTCCACATTCACTTATGAACACTTTCCCGAGGTAATGTCTATGCTGTGGAAACGAATGTTACAGGACAATAAACAGCATTGGAGGCGAACATACAAGGTATTTATTAGGTTCTTCAAGCTATACAGTACCCTATTTCATTAAAAATGCATATGAAAGAGGTTGTAAAAGGTATTTCTAGATTAATTTTGTTATAATGATGTAAGTATAGCTCATTAATGAATAATTAGTATTGAGGTTTAATCAGTGTACAGTGAATTATCAAATGTTTAGCAGGTATCAGCGCTAGATTACTTACAGGTTTATAATTATACATTGGAAACTTGTTTACATAAATTTAAAAATAGACAAAAATTCCCAACACAGCCAAATGCATTAAATTAATACAAGGATTAGTGAAGACCACCCTGTAGAACTCAAATTTTATCAAATATTAATGGCATAAAAATGTATTTGACTTACTTGACATATTACTTTTGGAAATAAAGAATTTGCACAGTCTAAAGACATTTTATAATCTCTTAAAAGACTATTGAATTGAAAATAGTTTTTACAGTCTAGAAGAATATCCTGATATATGCCATTAAATTTTATTTTTTACTAGTTGACTGTTTTTTGTTAGATATAGGTTTTTTAGTTTTGAATATATATGACTCTTCCTGTACAATGTTTTTTGTTGAGAGGAACTAAATAAATAACAATAAGTCTCCTTTGGACCAACACCAACAGGACCAACTGAAAGTGTTACATATAATATGGATGTATATACATAAATATATGTAGTAACATCAAACAGGGAAATTAAAAGTCACTTTAAGGACACAAAAACTCATACATTGTCGTTTGTCTCCTCTTTTTCTTTAAAATGTGCATCTTGAAATCATATTTCTTATTTAGAAAAATGCTCCAAAGGCTCTCTATCTCTCTGATATTTGACAAAACTTTTGAGATGCTTGGTAAGGGTAGCTTTACACAACAATTTGGAATAGCTTGTTTTGGTACTTTATCCTCTTTGACAACAGAATCTTCAGAGTGTTATTGTATTTTCAATTTCTTGACCTGAATCTGGATGTTCAAGATACAAGCTTTCATCTAAGTTCAGAAAAACATTCAGTATCAGTCAATTTCAATAAATCCTTAATTCTGAGGATATCTGAAAGTGCATTAAGAAGTAAATCATCTTCAGGATCAGATGTATCAGCTTCATTTAACTGGTCTTCACTTTGTCTATTTTCATGCTTAAATCCTGCTTTGCGGAAGCAATTTTGCACTGTTTCTTTGGTTACTTGGGTCCCAGCGGTTTTTGCCAAATAAACTGCATCCCAGTGACAATTTGTTCTTATTAAGTCAAAAGCTGTACCAGCTACTAGCAGTGTTTGAGTATTAGACTTCGGTAATAAGTTTTAAAACCCTTTATAATCCCTTGGTTAAGTGGTTGACAAGCTAATGTACAATTGGGAGGCAAAAATAAGACCTTTATATTATTTAAGCAAATGGCTTTTGGATGAGATCCTGCATTGTCTCAAAAGAACAAAATGTCTCTTTTTTTTTAACCAGTTTCCAATCTAGGTACATGCAATCACTCTGTCATAATTTGGAGCCATTTCTTCATAATTTGGAGACATTTCTCAGTCGCCAGAATAATACTGAATAGAAATTTAATCGAAAGAATAAGAACGGTAAATCCCCGAACAACTCGGGGAAATCTCTAATTCACTCTGGGCAGAAATGCACCACATAGGCTGCGTTTTTACGGAAGATTAAGTGAATCCCCGGCGAAGATGGCGCGCGTCACGATTGAGAAAAGCTATAGCAATACTCTCAACAGAAAAAATAAGAGCGTTTATTTTTATTTTGTTTTTTGTCCGGTCAGGAGAACATTTTCTCATGTCCGCGTCCGTTCAAGAGAGGGTTAATGCAAATTATATGAGGGTCGGTCGGGACGATGAGAAACTGTACATTTAAAGGAGGTGTCCGTGGAAGAGGGGTGTCCGTGAATTTCACCCTATTTCATTTGTTGTTGTTGTTTTGCCGGTACCTGTTTTTTGGATGTTATACGACATGTACATCATGAAAAAAAAATGTCACTCGTTACCGTCGGTCGGTCTTTCTGTCGATCTTTTGATGAAATTTTTACTCAATGATTTTACTATGTCAAAGACGCAAAAGTTTTGAATTTAAGTTTTTGAAAATCGGTCCAGTGGCGACAAAGGAAAAGGCCAAAAACGAAAATGAATAAAAACGCAAACTTCGTTATTTAGCGTTTCAGAGAATCCTGTTTTTAGAGCTAAAAAACCTTTGGGTGGAGGTTGCAGGGGGGGGGGGGCAGGGTTTATATCAATTCTTTGATGTTAGCACATTTATACGCTTCAAGTATAGCTCTATCACTTATGTATAAGTAATATTCAAAGTTGTCTGGAATAGATAGAAAGACTCATGTTTGTGCTCAACTTAGAAAAGTGTTGGTGAAGGCTTTTAGAATGGACTGCCTTGCCCCAGTGAATGCAGCAGATTGCTAAATATGTCATTTACTCCAAACAATAAAAATAAATCACGACGGATCTTGAAGAACGATCTGCATGCTCTCGCGAAGCCTCGGTAATGTCGACAACTCCGATATTGAGTGAGCCATTTTTGTTTTCGTTTGAGAAGCGATGTGTAAGGGCTTTTTTTACCAACGCGGCCAGCGTCAGCGCCTGGATTGAGTATTGATGTTCACCGTACGGGTTCACGTTTGGTCTGATCGAGGTGTAGGACCGGCACGGGTATTACGTATCATGAAAAGTGGCATTATGTCGTTTCTTTTGACATTGTATTGCTTTTGTGATATGTAGGTTTTTCTACAAGATGTTAATTTAGCACTAGCTGATGGACACGTTGTGAACTCGTTTTGTAGTTGTACGTGTTGCCTAAACGTCATGAGACTTCAATTGACAATGTTTGGCTCTGATGTGATGTGATGTAAAATGTGCTTCAGAGATGACATTACTGGAGGTCTAATCTGTAAGTTATATACTATAGCTAGAAGGAATAATAATATAATCATATGTAATGATGATAATATTCTATTGGATTCTTGTCTCAAATACACTTACTTGAGATTCAAATCTAGAAACTTGTTGAATTTCAAAAATAAAAGAGATAAGAAATAATTATATTCACTGTACATTCTCGAATTACAAATCATGTACATGCTAACAGTAATTGCACATGACGCGGGCGCGGTGGTAATTTCTCGTAATTCTCCTCAAAGTCTTTGAAAACACAAAGGCACGTAAAATATCGTAATTTATAACTTTAAACATAACCTGCTTCAGAAAGGACAACATATAGAAAACCCGCCGGGCACAGCTAATAGATATACTTCATTGGCAGCATATCAAGTAATGATTTTCTAACACAGCAAATATCACTGATTTTAAACACATGCAGACCAATACACATAATCATCCAGATGCGATCTTGCTATTCAAACAACTTTCTTCTCTTCAGAGATGGAAACTACAGACTACTCGGCTTCACAAAACATATGCAACCAACAATACGTGTAGTTGAGTCATTCCTCCATAGATTGGAGCTCACAACAACCCGAGCTAACATGGAATGACTGTTTGCACCCTAAAAACTACCTAGTCTGCAAGATAACATTTTATAGGTTTTTTTTGACGTTTCATAGGTTTTTTACATAATACCCGTGCCGATTAGGTTTTGTTTAGGTTTCATTTATTTTGCGGAGCCTAACATCTCGGTAATCTTCAGACTTTGGTGTATATGCTACTAGAAATAACAGCTCCTTTTTCCCAGATCTGTAGCCGTGTATTTCATCACTCAGAATAGCCATTTGCTAATTCTACCCATTCAAAAAATAAGTTGGTGAAATACCTTTATTACTCATATTAAATTCTTTGCAGTCTCTGCTTGTCCTTCATTACCTGATTAAAAACGGATCCGAGAGAGTGGTGACATCTGCCAGGGAACATATCTACGACTTGAGGTCTTTAGAAAATTACACTTACATTGACGACGTAGGCAAGGATCAGGGTGTAAATATAAGGCATAAAGTGAAAGAAATGATCGACTTCATCCAAGATGATGACAGATTACGAGAAGAAAGGAAAAAAGCCAAAAAGAATAAGGACAAGTTCATTGGGATGAGTTCTGACATGATGAGTATGAGATTTGGTAAGTATTTGTAGACTTCCTGTATGTATATTGTTATAAATTCATTTTTAAATATGCATTTATGATGTACAAAATGGAAAACTGCATCTGGTCTGCAACTGCTTTATACCTATTTTACAACTTTCTGACTTTGCCCCAAACTACTGGAAATGTTATTAGTGCAAGAGTTTTATTGAGTTTGGTTAGTGTTGAATTATGCATCAAACACATGCGTTACAGAGAAATCCAAACATCACTGACGTCGTGACGTGTACGCGCAATATACAGTAATGGACAAAAGTATATAGACAAATATGAATATTTACCTAAATACCTTTAGAAAACGAATTCATACTTCATTGCTCCATAAACAAATGAGTTATTAGTAGAAAAACTAAATTCTTTGTTTTTACATTATCTGCAATGAACACAATACAAGTCTGAATATAAGCACTTTTTTATGATAGACAAAAATATGTAGACAAATTCTTTTCAACATTATTTTAGTACAGTTTCCTGTCAGGAGAGGATTGGTTGGTGTTCATCAAGTATTGTGGAATAAGTTGAGTGATTTTAAGACCATGTCCCGTGGTCCGGAAACGTCAAGTCGACATTGTCAAAAATAAAGCAGTTTGGGCAATATTGATCAAATATAAACAAAAAGGTATCTTGGAAGCCTCTAAGAGAAGTGGTCGGCCTAGAAAACTAAATGCTAGATCAGTAAGATTAATAAAAGTAATTTCGTCCAAAGATCCGTTTAAAACCCCAAGACAAATAAAAGCCGAAATTGAGACAAAAGGAATTGTCAGTGTTTCAAGAAAAACTATAAGTAGAAGATGAAATAATTTGAAGTTATTTGCACGTCGCCCGAGTAAGAAGCCGCTAATCTGGAGGAAAAACCGTAAGGACCGATCACAATTTACACGGTTGCATCTGGATTGGAGCATCTGTGACTGGAAGAGAGTATGTTTCAATGACGAAGCCAAGTTCAATATGTTTGGATCAGATGGTGTTCATTACGTCAGACGTTCTAGTGGACAAAGATTGAACCCCAAGTACACTTTGCCCACTGTCAAACATGGAGGCGGGTCTGTTATGGTTTGGGGGTGCTTTTCGGGGTTTGGGATGGGACCTTTACATGGAATAGATGGCATTATTAATAATTTTGTATACACAGACATACTAAAGCATGTCATGTTACCGTATATGGAAGACAATATGCCCTTAAGATCAATCTTGTAGCAAGATAATGTCCCGAAGCACACTTCAAATCTCGCCGGATGAAAAAATACCATTTCTCAAATGGCCTTCACAGTCTGCTGATATAAACCCCATTGAAAATCTATGGGAATACTTAGAGAAGCAAATACGAGATAAAAATTATTCAAACAAGGATGAACGTTTTGCCGCTTTAGAGCAAAAGTGGAGACAGATTGATGAATCTTATATCAAGAAACTTCTACAATCTATGCCGGTGATTGATAATAATGGTTATGCTACAAAATATTAACACAAACATGGTTGTTTTTCTATAATTCAGTGAACTTTGCTTCTTTTTTCTATATTTGTCTTGCTTTGTCTATATATTTTTGTCCTTCATAGTTTTTTTTTTCAATTAATTTTTTATTGAAGGGAGTCTAATGAATTTATTAATGTATAAGTGAGCATTATGCTATAACGAATTATGTATACAGGTTGGTGTATTAATAAAACAAGTTAAAAAAGACATACTGCACAATATTAATTTGTCTATATACTTTTGTCCATAACTGTAAGTCAAAAGGCCGGTTGTGAATTTTTGCTGTGATAATAAGCTTATTTGACGACATAGTTTTTTCTATTACTAATGTTTTAACAAAATCGACACAGTGGTTGCTGAGATTAATCATTGACGGAATGACAGGTGGATAATAGCCAATCGATGACGTAGAGGCTAAAAACTATTCATTAAGTTGCAATATTTTTGAGAAAATGATAATCATACGCCATAAAAATAACGTCATGAATCGCCCTGTATACACCCAAGTTTTGAGAAAGTATTCTGTACGTGCGTCAAACCAGAACTGCACTACCCTGTATAAAGCAATGAAAAAGTGCGGGAATTATTCCAGTGAGGCAACTAAAAAGGAAACGAATTCTAGAAGTTTGAATTTCAAAGGTTTTTTCGCGAGTGTCCCTTCTACTGTTAATGGGCTTTATTTGCGTTGAAAACCCATCCCAAAAAAAGGAGCTAAGTCCAACCCTTACAACTACAGGCCTACAGCTCTGCATTCTATTATAAGTAAGGTGATGGATAGGTGCTTAAATCGGGAGTTTCTGTAGTACCTCGAACGTCAGGGCTTGATTAGCGACAGGCAGTATGGTTTCCGGCACCAGCAATCCACAGGGGGTCTCCTAGCTTAGGTCACGCAATTGTACATATCAACGATCTGCTTTCCTGTATGATCAATCCAATCCACAGCTTTGCAGATGACAGCACTCTACATGAAGTCATTCAGAGCTACAAGCGGATTTCTGCCGATGAGCTGGAAAAAGAGAAGAATGGCAGCGACTTCCTCTCTGAGGAGAGACCTGGAGGTTATCACTGCTCAGGAACGCAACAATATTGCCAAAGAGCCGTTCATTTCGGCTAGTCGTTAGTCCAGATCACCGAGTACTTGATCTGGCACGAACAGATCTCGTCAATAGCGGCAGCTGCTGGGAAACATCTAGACTATTTGTTTAGGGCTAAGAAGCACTTTTCTCCACATGTTCTCCTCTCTCTGTACGAGACCCAGACTGCATTATCCATGTTCGATGCTTTCCAGATGAGGGCTGCCCGACTGATCGATGACTCTGCTCTAACAGCCGTCTCGGAGTCCTTTCGCATCGGCGGGCCGTCGGCGATCCAGCTCTCTTCTACCGCTTCATCAACTGGTCGATACGACCGCTCCTTTGTCCCTAGGGTATCGAGATTGTGGAACAACGTGCATGAGTTCAAAAATCGGATTAACAAAGTTTCTTTAAGCTCCTCATTTATTTATTTATTTATTTATTTAGCAACATCCAACAGCCATAGCCAATTATAGGATGGATAAACATGAAAATATAAACAAATGCATGTTGTGGATGTATGTAGAGAAAGCTAAAACGCTGCAAAAAAAACCTCAAAACAGAACTGGGAGGAAAAAAAAGCGTTCTAGCTTTACCTAGCCAGCACTCAACAATCACACCGGCAAGCATTAACGAAAATAAGCATTAATGTCTCCCAAAGTCGCACAAAACGAAAATATATCTAAAACGCTATTAACTGAATTATAATTACGGCACATTATATATAGGGGAAAACTTAAGTATGTCAGTCCTAGGCCTGGCTAAGTAAAAAGTTAAACTAGTTCGTGACGCTAATCTAGGAATTAAGAAGTTAAGTTGTTCTAAGATGACACTGGAGTCAATAATGCCGTGGATGAGCTTGTGAATGAACTTAAGTGAATTCATTTTGCGTCTGCTCTCTAAATTATAGATTTTGTGTCTCGCCATCAACTCACTATGAGGAAAACCAATAGCGGGATATATCCCGTCAGCTTTGTATGAGAGGTATTTTAAAAACTTTCTTTGAACGGACTCTAAGCGGTCAATATATATTTGATGATGAGGATACCATACCAGGGACGCATACTCAAGCTTAGATCTTACAATAAGCATAGTACAGTATTTTCAGTGTAAAGGAGTTGTGGAAATCACCGGTATTTCTTACAATAAAACCATACGCCTTTGATGCAGCCACAACAGCATTTTCAATGTGATGGGAGAAGGAAAGTTTTCTGTCAAATGTGACTCCCAAGTCATTAATTGTACTAGGTCTGTCACACCAGTTGTCAACCCTTACAATGTTGCGCTGCAAGCGATGACAATCGCACTCATAATAGCGCGGCTCGTTCTCCGCGCGGAAAGGCACCTTAACAACACCAACAGGACGCTCTTAGCTTTCGTCCACTTGACTGGATTGTTCTTATTCCGATAGGTAGTAGCCGAGATGCATCTTGGGAGGACCGCAGCTATAGTGGCGGAGGCAGAGACGCTGAATGGGAGGACGGGGGTGCCAATCGTTACCGGGACCACCGAACTGGAGCAGGTTCATATGACGACGACTGTGAACCAGAGCAAGATGATAGCGATGATGGAGAAGCAACAAGCAATAAAAACAACAAAAGGTATTGTTCTCTGTCTCTCAACGCTATATTGAAAACTGGAATTTTTCCTAATGTTTGGAAGTTAGCAAAGGTGTGTCCGGTACTGAAAGATGTTGATGAATCTGATGTACACAACTATTGAGCTATACGTATTTTAAACAACTTTGCAAAGGCTTTTGAAATGACAATTTAAACTTTTATCTTTGAGAACGTTGAAAGCCTAATTACACCATCACAGCATGGCTTCATCAAAGGAAGATCCACAATGTAATATATAGTGGATAGCCTTCATTACTTTGGCCTTAGTGACTTGTACTCGGTCTCCTCAGCGCACATCTTTGTCAAATAGAACTCAATATGTTTATTAAAATGGTTATTATTCGAAAGGATAATATATGAACAAATCATTGAATTCATTGAAGAAAGCAAAATTTTGACAAAAATCAAGCTGGTTTTAGAAATAATTATACTACAGAAACATCAATCCAAATGGTGGTGACAGGCTGGAGAAGAAGTATAGATGAGAAAGAATGTATTCCAGCAGTATTTTTAGACTCCAAAAAGGTGTTCCTTAATGATATGCGAATATTTAAGGGTGTGAATCTACGTGAAAAATTAATGTTAGTTTGCTTTATAAACTATGGTCCAAAAATGTTTCCTTACAAAAATTCGGGGTGTTGAAATTTTAGGAAAAAAATGGAAATTAATTAATATTTTCAGAAGCGCTTCAGATATTTCACTGATATTTAGTACGTAGTGGAAGTTAATAAAGTTGCATATTTTTCAATGCAAAAATAATTTTTAACTTTAACAGTGACGTGCGTACGGGTATTGACTTCGATCTTTTTCAAGAACAAAAAGGTACGTCAATGGTTTTTTGTCAAATAAACATTATTTTTGAATTCCCCGTTCAATTTAAAACAAATGATCTCTCTTGAATTGTTTTCCTTCGATGCGCCATTTTAGAGCCGTTTTACACACAAGAGAATTACTCCGAAAATTATGGTCATAATTATGCCGAAAATTTTTGCTGTCGTATTACACGTAAAAGAATTCTTGTGAAAATTTTCATGGTAAAAATATAAAACCCGTTCTATATTATATGCGCGAGAATCGGCGCAGAGGGTTATTTCCGTGCATGTCAATATCAAATGTCAACGACAACAACAACAACATAACCTCACTTAACATTTGTGGGAGTGGTCCTGTTCGAGTCGTAGGAAGGAGCGTTTATTGTTATTGTTTATTCATAATGTCGTGGAATCGGGAAGAATTTACAATGTTGTTGGAGGAGTACCAAAAATGGCCAAACCTGTACAAGGTGAAGTCACCCAATTACAAAAACAGAAATTTGCGGCGTCAGGCGCTGGATGCGATAGTCCAAGCATTGAGAAGTTTTATAATATTAACCAAGATCTCGATTTCAAAAATGAATTTAAATTATCGAAGTCTGTTGTCTTTCCGATTATATTGGACGTCATACCCGTTAAGGTTATGTCCATTTGAAAATATAACTCTAATGCGCAGGCGTATCATATGAATTACTCCGAAATTTTGTTTGCTTGTGTCATACAGGTTGTAGAGAAAATCTTCAATATTTTTTCCATGCAAATTTTCAGTATAATTATGACCATAATTTTCGGAGTAATTCTCTTGTGTGTAAAACGGCTCTTAGAGTAAAAAAATAAAAACCGTTCTATTGTCTAACTTGCAAAATTATTATTAATTTAATTGGAAAAATTAAACACATTAGGGGTAATGAACAACAAAACTGACAACATAAACATAACATTAAAACCAACGAAATGATTACAAAAATTGTTGAAAATGGCCCCCTTCACTTAGTATGCATGCTTCCGCCCTCCTTCTCATGGAATTGCGCACTCGTTGAAATATCCCTGGAGTGTTTTTTATTCTATCACAAGCTGCAACTATTCTTTCTCTTAATTCTTCTACAGTGTTAATGGGACTTGTGTACACTAGTGTCTTAAGATAGTCTCACAAAAAGAAATCTAAACTGTTGAGGTCTGGGGACCTTGGTGGCCATTCCTGGGGCCCACCGCGGCCAATCCAACAATTTGGATAAACAGTTTGTAAATAATTACGAACCGCTACACTGAAATGCGCTGCTGCACCATCATGCATGTATTGTTGCTTACTACTAACAGAGCATCACCAAGCAGCAAAAGACAACTGTTGTTGAAGAAAATTGAGGTAAGTCTGTCCGCCAAGTCTTCCCGGCAAGAAGAATGGACCAATAAAATGGTTGCCAATAATTCCTGCCCATACGTTAGCCGAAAATTAGGAATTTTCTTCTGCCTTCAAATGATTATTGTAGAAATTCTGAATGGCATTTCGAGAAAAATTAGCTTCGTCCGTGAACAGAATCATTGATTCAAATTGCGGAGTTTGTGTAATTTTTTGAAGATACCATGACAAAAGGTCACACGCCTTGGAAAATCAATGGGAAGTAATGCCTGTACTCTTAAAATATGGTAAGGATATAACAAAGAATCCACGAAAATTCTCCAATTTGATGGCAAATATTTAAGTGTCTAGCGATCTTCCTCGTACTCATTTCAGGATGTTCGGCACGGCTTGCTCAATTTCAGGTGTTCTCGCACTTAGAGATCTACCTTCAGATGTTCCTTTTCGGATGGAACCAGTTTCAATAAGACGACGATGATTATTAGAAAAGGTTCGACTATCTGGCAAAGCACGATCGGTATATCTCTGGTGATAAATCCGTCCGGCTTGCTCACCATTACCGTCGGCAAGGCCAGATACGTAATGCATTTCCGCCAATTCTGCATTTGAATAATTCACCATTATTAACAAGATTGTAAAATCTAAATAATGAAAAGATCACAGCGAACAGATTTGAATAACAGAGACTTGTCAGTTGTCAAAAGCCAGTGACGTATTCCAGAGCAACTAGATATTTATTGCTAAATTGCATTCTTCAATTATTACATTACTATTCTCGGACAATAGAACGGTTTTTATTTTTTTATTCAAAAATGGCGCATCGAGGGAAAACAATTTAAGAGAGATCATTTGTTTTAAATTGAACGGGGAATTCAAAAATAATTTTATTTGTCAAAAAACCATTGGCGTACCATTTTTTTCTTGAAAAATATCGAAGTCAATACCCGTACGCACGCCACTGTTAAAGCTAAAAATTAATTTTGCATTGAAAAATATGCAACTTTATTAATTTTCACTACGTACTAAATATCAGTGAAATATCTGAAGCGGTTCTGAAAATATTAATTAATATCCATTTTTTTTTCCTAAAACTTCAAAACCCCGAGTTTTTGGAAACATTTTTGGACCATAGTTCCTAAAGCAAACTAACATTAATTTTTCATGTAGATTCACACCCTTAAATATTCTCATATCATTAAGGAACACCCTGTAGAACTGTTAAATAGTAATATTAAAAAAAATATAAATGTATTAAATGTTAATAAACTTAAATTAAACACTAATGAAACAAAATTTTATGTCAATAGGGAAACATTTAGGTGTCAATACAATCTCGAGCTCATGGTTAATGATGAAAAAATTGAAGTAGTCGAATCATTCAAACATCTGGGTATATACTCGTATGTGGATAGTAAACTACTGTTTCACGAGCATTATTTCGAAAATATCAAAAAAAGAAATTACTTCTATAAAGTTTTCCATAATCTCAGTATGTATTCCAAAAAAATTGTGTATAGCACTATAATTCTTCTCAATTTTTAATTTGTTCATCTTGTTTACAGCCAATAAAAACACATTTTCAAAATTACAAATTCTACAAACTAAAGCTATGAGAATCATTTTAAATAATAGCAAATATGCTAGGATTAAGTCTATGTTGCAAGAAAAAAGCATTTTTTATCACCACATTTAGAAAACTTCACAAAATTAAATATCCATTATCATAATAGCATAACTAGCAAATCTGTATTTCATAAGGGAATATTTAAATTTAATAAATTGAATAATGAAAATAAACAGTAATCTAATTTAAAAATGCTTAAGCTGAAATTAAAAAATCACTTTATGAATACTCTACTATTCAAAATAATGCGTAAACGAATAATTATACAAAATTGACATTGTAACATTAATGCTAAATAAATCTTCAGCAAACAAAATCTCTTATCACTTTGAAATACTTACGATTTAGTCTATATTATTTATTTGAAGTCGTTTAGTGAGGATTTTATATCTGCAGATATCAGCAATTATTGCTGATGTTTTTGATAACACATATCAATGAATTAATGAAATAATCTGAATGCATATAATGTAATCGCATCTACATGATTACTGATAAATGATTATAACTGCAGTGACATTTCTGTATACTAACGGGTGATTTTTTAAGAGGTATAGGATTTGATTTTCAAAAAAAAACAACAAAATTTGAAAAAAACGGTTATATCTTTATTCGAGTCGATATAACGGTCGATATTTAAAGATTATTCATGTAAATGTTGGCCGCGGCTCCGCTTTAGATGGCCCATGCCCAAGGTCCAATTTTGGCGCACTCTCTCCAACATAGCGGCCGGTATCTCACGAATAAATGCTTCAATATTGGCTTCCAGTGCGTCAATCGTTGCTGGTTTATCCCTGTAGACATTAGCCTTAACATGGCCCCACAAGAAATAGTCCAACGGCGTTAAATCACACGATCTAGGCGGCCAATTGACGAGCCCCAAACGTGAGATAAACTGTTCACCGAACTCGCCTCTCAATAGGGCCATTGTTTCGTGTGCGGTGTGGCATGTGGCACCGTCTTGTTGAAACCACATATCAGCCAAGTCCTGCTCTTCCATTTTGGGCAAAAAAAAGTTTGTTATCATCGCACGGTAGCGCTTGCCATTCACAGTTACGTTCCGGCCATTGTCGTCTTTGAAGAAGTACGGCCCGATGATGCCACCGGCCCATAATCCACACCAAACAGTGATTTTTTCGGGATGCATTGGTAGCTCTGGCAATGCTTCTGGCTGGTCTTCACTCCAGAT